TATCAGCTCAGAGTTATGGCAGGCAAGCTGAACTTCTACACAGTAAAGTTCTCTGCATGCTTATCTCTTCCTCTTGCACCCATGCAAATGCCTTGCACGTACAGTATCCACTGTCAAGGAGTTCAGCCCAATGACAGTATGCTGCCTGAAGTGCCACCTCTTTGTGGCTGTTGTGTACATATTTGCCACCAGCTTCATGTGCTGGTTCTTACATCTTGCACAAGGAAAAGTTATCCCTGCCTATTCACTAAGCTACTCATAATTCTGCACAGCTCTATCATGTCATATTGGTAGATCCCCCCTTCCAGGCTGAAGAGCTTCAACTTGCTCTGTCAACCCGCATCCTGAAGATACTACAGAAAGAACATCGCTGCAACAGTACCACGCACTGGGCAAACCAAGGATTTATAAGATAATGCTTTCTGTCTTGTTCATAATTTCTTCCCTAATGATTTCTAACATCTGGTACTTTCTGATGGCCACCAAGCACTGAGCTGGGGCTGCCACTGAGCGATTTACTGTAACTAGAAGTTTTGCTCCAGTGTAATAAGCAACAGCTCTGGGACCAGCATTTCATGTGGGAGAATAGGGTTGCATGACTTTATATTTATTGTATTATATACATTTATCTGGCACCTTACTGCCCAGAAAGGCAGTTTCATAAGGTCCTTTTGTAAATCTTCATATCTACTGTATCACACACTCTCCTTCCTGTCCCTTTTTCCATAGCATTTATGCATATATTGAACAGCACAAGTGCCAGCACAACATGGGGACCAGCCAGGAGCACAGAAACTGATCCTTGTGCTCCCTGGGCTGACTGCTCAGGCACAGTGTGCTGGGAGAGCTGAAGAATAGCCCTGGAGATTCCTCCCAAGCCTGTATTCCTATGAATGGGTTATGAAACGAAAACATCATTGGGTGATGTGAAAGCAGAGAAAGTTAGATGTGGAGGACTTCTTCAGCCAGCTCTTTGTTAGTGAGATTTCCTAGGCTAAATGGTCTGTGTTGTAGCTCTGCTCATGTATCCTGTTTCTTGAAGAGAAGAAACATCCATTTCCATCTTGTTTTTTCCAGTGCCAAACTGTCATTTCATTATTTCAGGGCACTTCGCTGCTGACAGACAGCAACAGGCTCCATCAAGGGAATGAAGGAACAATGTATTTCTTAGTTATTTATGATACTGTCTTGGAAGATGGTGGTGTTTACACCTGTGTTGCCAAAAATGCAGGAGGGGAGGTTTTGTGCAAAGCAGAGCTTATCGTACGTGAAGGTAATGTCATTCTTTCCACTGCAGGAGTTGCTTCTTCTGGTGCCCATGTGGTATCCTCTCTGTATTCCTGCATAGCATTTGTCTATTACCAGTATGGCACTGGTATACATATATACATACCCCACATATACTGAGATTTTTTTTCTCTGCTTCAGACTGCATGATGAACTGGTACAATGGGCCACAGAAATAAGTGGGGCCATGACAGGCTGAGAGAGCTGGGGTTGTTCAGCCTGCAGAAGAGAAGGCTCCAGGGAGACCATAGAGCAGCTTCCAGTGCATAAAGGAGACCTGCAAAAAATCTGAAGAGGGACTTTTGACAAGGGCATATAAGGGCAGGACAGGGGGGAATGGCTTTAAACTGACAGAGGGGAAACTGAGATGAGATCTGAGGAAGAAGTTCTTCCCTGTGAGGGTGATGAGGCCCTGGCACAGGTTGTCCAGAGAAGCTGTGGCTGCCCCATCCCCGGCAGTGTTCAAGGCCAGGCTGGATGGGGCTTGAAGCAACTTGGTCTAGTAGAAGGTGTCCCTGGGTTTGGAATAGGATGAGCTTTAAGGTTCCTTCCAACCCAAACCATTCTGTGATTCTATGTCTTTGGTGGTGTTCTGCTCTTCAGGCTGTCTCTTTTATTTATTTAGGTGGAGATGCAGCCAAAGAATTTGTATTAAAAGGCTCTGTCATTGAACGGCTCCATTTAATTCTGTGTACAAGTTTAGAGGACTCCTGTAATTTTACTTGCCCTAAATTGTTCTTTTATAACTTTGCATGCTATTAGCAAGACATCGGTGTCTGAATAGTAACACTTATATTCCTTCATTTCCAAAGCTAAGAAAGACCAAGCAGCAAAGAAGGTGGCCACTAGGAGAAAGCTCCATTCCCTGTATGAGGTTAAGCAGGAGATTGGAAGGTAAATGAATTTTCCAACTTCATGACATCACTGCTGGAAAATATATAATTGCCCATATGAGCTGCTGAGTATATATGTAACCAGTGGTTGGCCTTGCTGTAATAAAATATGGAAAGGTGAAAGGAAGAACTGGAAGGTTACCCATTATAGGTATGCTGGAAACACTTCCCTGAAGTTTCTGACAGAGGATGGGAGAGTCCATACAACCCATACATAGGTCTAGGTAGCTCCAGCCAGGAAAAATACCAACCAGAGGCTGGCAGAATAGGCTTCTTGACAGTGTTAGCATCACAAGCCTATACCAATGTATGGACAAACACTGAGTCCATCCAAGGGATCCAAGAGCATCAGCCTTTGTCAGCACAAGGCTGTCACCTGAAACAACTTTTCCCTTGAAGTGAGCTCGTTGCTTAGATTTGGAGACAGCCAGGAGAGGGCAATAGCACCTCACAATCAGGAAAATAAGCTTTTTATGTTGGAGAATTTAAGCCCTGAGCAGTAGGGAGCTCTCAAAGGCTGGGATGTGGAAAAGTCTACACATGCTGGGGTTTGAACCGAGTCTGAACAGTGCTTGTCCTTTGATTTTTCACAGGGGCTGCTTCAGCTTTGTGAAACGAGTTGTACACAAGGGGAACAGAGTGTCTTGTGCTGCCAAATTCATACCTCTGCGAAGCAAAACTAAGGCTCGAGCACATCAGGAGAGGGATATTCTTGCCTCTCTGTCCCATGACAGAATAACCAGGCTCCTGGATCAGTTTGAAACACGGAAAACACTGATTTTGATCCTGGAGTTGTATCCTTTTCTGTGCTGCTTGTCTGAGGAGTCTGGGGAGTACTAGGTAGAGCTCATTTATTAAATAACTAAGCAATTAACCATTTTTTTTGTTTTGCCTGAGGTAACAGGACATGCACAATCTTTCTCTGCACTATAAAATGGCATAACTCCCTAAGATCTTCACCGAAGTACTATGTTTCTGCTGTTTTAGGAAAAAAATACACTTGTATATGTAAGTGTAAATGAGTTGTTAAGCACCAAAACTCTTTTCTGAGATGTCTGGAAGTTAAAGACTGTTTCCATGAGATCCAGTCTGGGTGAGCGTGAGGAAAATGCATTGCAGAGCAGAAAAGCCCACAGCCAACAGGTAGATGTTAGCACAGGTGACACCATGTTCCTGCTTACAGGGAGCACAAGTTTAGAGCAGCCTAATTCTGCAAGGACATGGTTGTAATAGAGATTTTAATGAATTACATGCACATCATGTTGCCTGAGATCGCCTTGTGAATTCTGCTGTTAGCTGGATAGAGGTGGTTACAAAGTAAAAATAAGCATTTAACTGTAGTTCTATTTTCCCTTAATGCTGTTGTCAGATGCTCCAGCGAAGAGCTCCTTGACCGTTTATTTAAGAAGAGTGTTGTTACTGAAGCAGAGGTAATCCTTCTTTCTCATTTGAAAGTTCAGAGTTGGTGGGTACCACCAGAGCATCTTCCAGATGCATTTTCCTCTTTGAATGAGGAATGTCTTTGAACCACTGATAATCTGTCAAAACAGAGTCAGACTTTAAAAGGTTTTTCCATCAATGTTCATTACTGAGTTGAGTTTCTTTGGGGAATAACCAGACAGAGACAGTGGTTTTGACCAGTAGCATTGCATTCAGCCTAATACAGATGACATTTGCTCTATTAGCATAATTTTTTTGCTAGCCATCACCTGGAGCACCTGCACCTTCACTTGCTTAATACCAATTTATCCCCTTGCAATTTTACTTCTATCTATTCCCTTTCAGTCTCCAAACCAGGAGCTGAAATTACAGTTTCTACAGTTTTGTTGAGATTCTTCATGCTCAAAGTTCAAAATCATAGGCTGCTTTGGGTTGCAAGGGAACCTAAGTATCATCTAGTTCCAACCCCCAGCTCTCTTCTCCAGGTTGAACAAATGTTTGAAACCTCCCATCTAGTAGCCAGGTGTACCGTATTTATTGCTAAAATGGATTTTTCTTAGGAATAATCCGAGGGAAACATCATAGAATCATAGAATGGTTCAGGTTGGAAGGGACCTCTAAGATCAAATGTCAGCTAACCTTATAGAATGTCAAAGGTAGAGGACTTCCAAAGCTGAAGCTAGCTGTAAATCTTCACTCCTTTTTCAGTCATAGATTGGATCTAGATATGGTCAAGAAAACAGGTTTACAACATAGCTGCAAAATGGTAAAATGTATTTGTGTTTTAAATGCGTTTGATTTACACAAAGCTAGAGCTGAGTTTGAGTTAGATAAGTTGAACAGTTGGTAAGGGTCATTGAACTTGAGTGTTTCCATATCTCTTTTTTGAATGTTTGTAGGGTTGTGTTTTTTTTAAAAATAAGGATTTTTCACATGTAGAAGGTTCCAGTAGGATAATGTGCATCACACAAGAGGCACAGCTTCATTCCACAGGTTAGGTTCACATCTTTCAACTGCAAGACTAATATAAGAATTTCATTCTGGTTTTAGAAGTATTTCTAGCTCAATCTCTCCCACTCTCATATAGTAAGAACATTGCTGGAATCAGGAACCCTCTTATTTACTATTAATGTTTAACAATTAATTAATAATTGATTTAATTTTTAGGTCAAATTGTATATTAAGCAAATTTTGGAAGGAATCAAATATCTTCATGACAACAACATCCTTCATTTGGACATTAAGGTAAAATGCAATGGCAGGTCTAGCTTGTCATAACTTCTTGTTGATCAGGGAATGGGTGTTCTCTATTTGAGTTATTCTTACTTACAACTGAAAATATTGCCTGCTTTCAATGAAAGTTTCTCCGTTTGTTTTATTTCATTTACTAGCCACTGAATATCCTCATGGTTTATCCTGAAAGGGAAGACCTTAAGCTCTGTGACTTCGGATTTGCTCAGAAGATCATGCCCTTTGAGCCCCAGTTCAGCAAATACGGATCCCCAGAGTTTGTTGCCCCAGAAATTGTTACTCAATCTCCAGTGTCAAAAGCAACTGATATCTGGTAACTTGTCATCTTTCTAAAAACCTATTGCCCTAGACAGCCTGAACATCCATTAGTTTTTAATAGGTAAATTGAGTAGTGGTAATAACACAAGAAACTGAAAGTGAATACTGAGAACCCAAAACCCACCAGGGCTCTGTTAAGCTCCTTCTGTCTATTTTATTCAACCATAATTGAACTCTGAAAGCTAATTAATGAAAGGAGCATCTTAGAGAGAATGATCTTTATCAGAGGCAGCAACTAGGGAGAATGATCCTAAGGGGTTTCTTAGAAAAGACAAACAAACACAAAAGAGGTATTTTTAGTCTTCTCCTCTATCTGTGTTTTAAAAATGAAGGATTATTTGAGAACAATTTTTTTTTTTTAAATGTTAAATGGAAAAAAAATGAAGGGTGAAAAACATACCTTTTGGGATTTATTTTGATTGGAAAGGAGAGGAGGATGAAGAAGGATGAAGAAATAGTGACAAAAACATTTCTGTTTCCTCTTTCCTCAGGGCTGTTGGAGTCATCACATATTTAAGGTAAATAAATCTTCTTGGGAAGATTCATTCAATATCCCTTTGTCAGCCAGAGCCCTCCAGTACCTTCAAGTGAAGCACTTGAGTGAAGCACTGAGTCCTTCTATAACAAGGGCAATTCACTCTTTCCTGGTTTCCCAGGGCTTGGGTCACTGTCCCTGCCTGAAGATCTGATAGTTGCTCTCCTTGCAGTTAGCAATGAAAGCAGTGGATGAGGTTCAGACTTCCCCTTGACTGTTTTAGCTCACACCCTACTGTAGCTGTGCAAAAGCAAATTCTTAATTCCTTATCTGTGAAACAGGGATAAATAATTCTGTTAAGTGCCATGTAATGCTGAGGTAAAAGATACTCTGTTAGTGGACATACTGCTCACATGCATTGCAAGTCCTACGCATGGAGTCCCTCAAGCATTTTAAAGTCCCTTGTAAGCATTTGTTCTTCTGTCATTTGATTAGCAAATAAAAGTCTAAAGTCTGTCTCCTTTTATTTTATGTTGTTTGATAAATAAGCCTAACATGTAAGTCTCCATTTGCTGGAGAGAACGACAGAGCAACCCTTCTAAATATCCAAAATGGGGAAATTTCATGGACCATTCCTGATTTTGTTCACTTGACTGAAGATGCAAAGGACTTTATGAAAAGGATCCTACAGCAGCACCCCAAGTGAGTGCACTTTTGTTCTTCCTACAGCCAGTGTGCAAAGATGTTAGTGTCTCAGCAGGCAGATCTCAGCTCATGAGAGCTGTGGTTGTTTATGAAAGTAGAAATCTGAGTGAGATGTGGTGTGTTATGCTCTAACACTTCTTTATTATTCCCCATTACCCAAAGCACAACTCAGCAATTTGTGAAATTGGCCCAGTTCTGGTATGGTGATGTCCTTACTCACTCAGTCTTCAGGGCAGAGGAGTTTCTGAAATGACAGAGAGAAGTGAAAAGAGCAAGAACTGGTTTAGAGGGAGTTATGAGAGAGTTAAATAATATTAACCACATTCCTTAAGTAATTTCAAGTACAAAAGGCAGCTTGAAGGCATGTTTGCAGGCACTTGCTGTTTAATTTAATTTCTATTCTTTCTGCCTGCTGCCAAAGCTCTTTTTGCTCTGGCCACCTAAAAAGTCAGAGTCACTCTCAGGGCTGCTCCTGACACTCTTGAACAGGCTCCCTGCAGAGTGCCATGGGGTCTTCCTGGGCATCTGTAGGGAGTCTCAGACTGAAAAAGAATTGTTTCACCTCAAGAGGAGGAAATCTTGGGTTGAAAGCCTCTGTCTCTTTGGCTTCTAGCTCTAAAACAGCAGCCTAAGGATACACATAAAAATGTGTGTGTGCCAATGAAGCAGCACCTTCAGGAAGATCTTATGGTTGCTGTTGGAAGTGACTTGCTACTAAAATAGTGATCTTTTCTCTTATCAGAGCCCGGCCTAGTGCCTTGGACTGTCTTTCACACAAGTGGTTCATGGTAAGTTTGTCCTGGGTTTTTATTAGACTTATAAGAAATATTGAGGTCGAGAGAGACCTTTGGAAGTGCAGCCTTTAAAGTTGCTTGATATTATTTGCCAGTTCATTTTTTCTTCTGGTCTCCTACTTTTTATCCTACAGAGAAGCTCAGGCATGGCTCTCCAGAAAGAGAAGATACATTGGTGCTTACATGCCAAGGTATCTTTCCTTTCAAAAGATAAAGGTTACTGCTGACATGAGCTGACATAACACTTCAGTATAGAAAGGAAACTGGCTTTGCAGAGCAAAGTTATGGTCTATATTACAATGCCTAAAAAGAAAAGCTAAAAGCTAACAATAACAATAAAAAAAATAATAATTTAATGGCATGCATTCAACAGGGTTTGCTTTTATCATTGAAAAGCTGAGATTGCCTACAATTTAGCCAAGAGGGAATTGTAGCATTTAGTCTACTGTAACTTTCCTGAAATAAACAATTCTGGAAGAAGGGGATCCTAAAAAAGAAAATCTTCTCAGGTAATGCAGTCAGGATGTTCAAACAATTATTTTTCAATCTTAGTTTCCTATCTTTCCACCTGGCAGCATAATCCCCCCCTGGAAGCAGCTCATTTCATTAATACAAAGCAGCTCAAATTCATTGTGGCTCGGAGCAAGTGGCAGGTGAGTTGGCCTTAATCTATGCTGGTTCTTTTTAGTTATACATATTTTTAATTATATTTGTACTTTTAAAGTCTATCACGTTAGAACAGCATGAACAGCAGAGATCTCAGCTTGGCTATGAATGGGGAATAAGCCCAGGAGAGAGCAGGCAATGGATGTGGCAGGAATAAATTATCTATGCTTTTACGGCCTGAAAATCATCTGATTTCATGCAGGTGCTTGTGAAATGCATGGTTATGCCTAAGTTAGGCACCCTCAGCCACCTTTGCAATTGGTGCTGAATAACAGACAGGTCCCAAGAAGACTCCTCTTTTCCTAAAGTTTTCTAAAATAACCAGAATGATTGCCTTCTGAAGATGCCTGTATCTCTCTGTTAGCAGTAAGGGGAAGCCAGCTGCTCAACTATAACTAAGAGGTCTTACATGGCAGAACGTAGAGCAGATGAATCTTACCTCCCACAGTATGACCTAAGTCACTTCAGGTTGTACTGCAGTTAATGGATTAAAGGTCATTTACTCCAGCTAGGCTCTCCTCTGACATGTTCCATTAAAAACACATTTCCTGCTGCTTTGAGTGGCCAGATTGTGTTTGAAAACCTCATGCAGGGTCCTGGTCCTTCTTCCTTGTTAACAACAGCAAGTATGTCCCCTGAAGTCAGTATAGTTTTACCTCTGTGAATGAGAGAAGAGGAAGACTTAGAGAGCAGTGAGGCCTGCCTGGACTGATGATATGTACAAAAGGGTGTACAAGGCAATGTGCTATTAAACTAGTATGTGTGGTATTTAAGAGTGCAGAAGTTCCATTTGGTGTGTTTGCTTTACCATACCCCCACCACGTTTCCATTTGATCGTGCTATATTTTGCTCTGCTTTTCAGCGGTCTCTGATGTGCTATAAATCCATACTGGTAATGCAGTCTATCCCAGAAATCCTAGAGAGGACTCATGATAACACCTCCCTGGCCATCTCCCGACATCTTATTGAAGAAAGCACTTCATCCAGTACCAGTGGCTCCTCTTCAGACAATGAAAATTCCAATTTCCCCAAGAAGAGGCACTTTGGCTCTACACCCGAACTCCATTTGTCCATACTTGACACACCAAGCCACCAGGAGCCTCCAAAACATGCAAGTGAAGAGAAGCACTCAGTCCCTCCAGTAAAACCTATAAGGAGGAAGTATGCTTCAGTGAAAGCTGAGGTGAGGGAAAAATCACCTACAGAAAGCAAAGAGCTCATGGCAAGTATCTTAACGGAGAAAGAGGAGGGGCTTCACCCTGGACTTCAAGATGAAAGAGCAGAGCAGTCCCAAAGAAGTGGTGGTACTGAGCCTTCATCAGTGAGGACTTCCACAGAAAGCACTTTACCTCTATGTCAGAAAGAAAAAACAGATGTATTTTTACCTGACAAGGACAGAGTTGAAAAAGCTGAGGATGGGACAGAAAAGCCATCCATCTGTGTTCCTAGACAGAGTGTGATTAAAAGCACTTTCTACAGCCAAGCAGCTGAGCTACCTGCAAGGGGGCCTTCCTCACCAGGCAGGGAGTTTAGGAGACACCTGGACAGAGCCAGAAGGACTTTCCGGAAGGCTGGATATTCAAAGGTGCCTCTCAGTGGTCTCCGTGAACCCCTTCTAGAGCAGTTTGAACTGGAAGAAGAAGAAGAAGGAAAGTCTGATTATGGAGGTGATCACAGGGAAAATCTGCTTGGTTCCTTGACCAAATCAGCTTCATTTGATACTGCAAGGAAACCACCACATCCTGCCATTGCTGGTGCTAGCCGAAGCCGTTCCCTGGATGACTACAGGCTGAGAGCCTCAAGATCACTGAGGGAAGAAGATATTTTGGAAGAAGACTGTGATGTACTGCCACAGGAAAGTTGCCCTGAAGGCAGTGGCCACTGTGACATTTCTGTGGTGCCTGGTAAGGGATGTTCTGTAGACGCTTCAAAGCAAGAGGACTTAAGGAGAGTGAGCAAGGATTGTTCAGAAGAGAAGCCCCCTCCTTCCACACAATGTGAGGGTAATGGGTGTCCAACAGTTTTTGTGCAACAGCTAGAGAGACTTCCAGTGTCACCTCATAGGAGCGAGAATAAGAAACCTTTACTGAAGAAGTCAAAAGCTACTTATATTGAGGAGGAAATTGATGATTTGGAAGGCAAAAGTCCCATTCTAACTGCCCAGTTCTCAGATGTAGCTGCATCATCAGCTCAAAACCATGAAAGCATGAAGAGTGAACATCAGGTGTCTGAGCAGCACCAGGCCTTCTGTCCCAGTGGCAAGGTTTCTGATGACCTGGAAGGTGGACCTCCAGGTGACTTAACTGCTTCTCAAACACAAGTTCCTCCAGCTTCAGTCTATGAGCTAGAACATAAGGAATACCCAAAGAATCATGGGGAGGGTAGAGATGTTGCCTTAGAAGGGGGAAGCTGTGATGCTGGAAAGACTGTCCCACCATTGCTCCACAGGGATCGAAGACAGGAGATCTCACATCACAGGTCTTCTTTTTACAGTGATGAGGAATCTGCTGCGTTGGAGGGCTTAGTGGATGAGATGGTCTCCCTCTCTGAAGAGATGAATGTTTGGGCAGATTCAGTTTCTGGTGAGGAGGAAAACAGAAAGAACATCTCTCCTCACACAGAAATGATCTACCAAGGTAGCCAAGCACCCACAGAAACTTCCTTCCCTTCTGTACAAGGAAGTAAAAGTGGAGAAGTCTCTGAGCTGAACCTTGCAGAACCCTATCCTGTCATGAGTACAGAGTCAATGGTTCTGGAAGGGCAGGGAACACAGATGGTTCCTCATGAATGTGAGCATCTGGAGGACTTGGCATTTGAGAGCGCCACTTCTAGCCAAGCGAGTGTTTCCTCAACAGATAGCTTGGACACTGGAAAAAGACGCAGCCAAGTGTCAGTGAGCCAGGACACTGTTAAACATCCAGAAGTTTCTTTAGTGAAAATCAAAGACCTGTCAGACGAAACACCCAGCCTTGGCAGTGGAACTCCAAAATTTGACATATCAGAAGTAGAGCCTGCCTATTTGAATTTCTCTGACTTGTATGACATTGTCTATTTTCCATTTGAATTTATGAACTATAGGAAGGCTCCACCTAAACCAACTGGTAGACGGTTTATTCCTTTTGGGGAAAGGGCAAGATCCCCTCCTGCAGGACATTTGCATAAGGATAAAAGGCTGTGCATCAGAGAACAGGCAGAGGACAAGAAAAGGAAGAACCATTTGGAAATATCTGAGGATTCAAAGGCAACTAACTTATTAGCCACTGGGAAAGGGTCAGAGAGTCATAAGGAAATGTATGGCCCCCAAAAGGACTCAAGTGGTAAGCAGAAAAGCTCTGTCTACAGCAAGCCAGGACTCTTTAAGCCATATGCAAGGTCTCAGTCAGTGGAGCAGCCAGTGGAGCAGAGTCTGAAGAAAAAAGTAAAAGCTTCTGTTGCCCATATTTCAAGAATCCTAAAAGGAAAGATATCTCCCGAGCCAGAGGCAGGGGAAGGTAAGTATTTTACTCTGTGATTTCATAGATTTGTTGCTATAACTGGGCTCTGCTAGATCTGCCTTTTCCCTTTTCCTCAGCATATCTGAGGCTGTGGTTAGACTGTGATTGCAAAACTGGCAGTTGCAGGTTATGAAATCAGTGGTCTTCAGCTCCACCAGCTCTGTTACTGGCTCACTTCAGTGCAGAGTCAGCTGGGTTAATCTGCTGATGGAAGTGTCTTAAATTCCCCTGAGTTTCTACAAAAGCAGATCAGGGCTGGATGATGCTTTCCTTGCTGCAGTTTCTTCTGCAGTTATCATCTGACCATGGTAAATCTTTAAAGCTAAAGCTCCTGGGAGAAGCTGGTGAGCTCACCCTGACTACTAAGTTCATGTCACTGGACTACAGAATCTGTCTGTTCTTCTCTGCCACCCCTAGATATGCCCTGTTGTTTCAGGACAGCATTCTGTTTGTAATAGCTTTCTCTGTTGACTGAGAGCTTGTTAATAAAGAAACCTGTGATTGCTGAGCTATTTATGTGTTAAGAGCAGAACTGTGTGCTCTAAATGGATACCCCAGGGAAAAGGATGGCCTAGAATGATTTCTCATCCTTTGTCAAAACAGAGTTTGGTGAGCTGGAAAGTGAGGCAGTAGAGAAAGAGCTGTTAACAGGGGCTGAAGGATCTCTAAAGAGGAAATCAGCACTCTCTTCATTCAAGTTACCAAGCCTCATGCCAAGGGAGAAAGGTATTGTTATTACATTAGTTTTACCATGAAAGTTAGTTTTAACCATGCCAAGTGCAAGGTCCTACACCTGGGCTGGGGCAATCCCAGGCACAGCTACAGGTTGGGCAAAGAAGAGACTCAGAGCAGCCCTGCAGAGAAGGACTTGGGGGTGTTGGTTGATGAGAAAATGAACATGAACCGGCTTCAGTGTGCGCTTGCAGCCCAGAAAGCCAACCGTATCCTGGGCTGCATCAAAAGGAGTGTGACCAGCAGGTCGAAGGAGGTGATCCTGCCCCTCTACTCTGCTCTCGTGAGACCTCACTTGGAGTACTGTGTGCAGTTCTGGTGTCCTCAACATAAAAAGGACATGGAACTGTTGGAACAAGTCCAGAGAAGGGCCACGAGGATGATCAGGGGACTGGAGCACCTCCCGTATGAAGACAGGCTGAGGAAGTTGGGGCTGTTCAGCCTGGAGAAGAGAAGGCTGCGTGGAGACCTTATAGCAGCCTTCCAGTGTCAGAAGGGGGCCTATAGGGATGCTGGGGAGGGACTCTTCATTAGAGACTGTAGTGATAGGACAAGGGGTAACTGGTTAAAACTTAAAACAGGGGAGGTTTAGATTGGATATAAGGAAGAAGCTCTTTCCTGTTAGGGTGGTGAGGCACTGGAATGGGTTGCCCAGAGAAGTTGTGAATGCTCCATCCCTGGCAGTGTTCAAGTCCAGGTTGGACAGAGCCTTGGGTGACACGGTTAAGTGTGGGGTATCCCTGCCCATGGCAGGGGGGTTGGAACTAGATGATCTTAAGGTCCTTTCCAACCCTAACTATTCTATGATTCTATGAAGTATCAGTAATGAACATGACAGTGCTGTGTGAGGCCAGTTTCTAAGGATGGATCTGCAATGAATGTCTGGAGATGACCTGGACCAACACATGCAATATGAGCCAGTCTCCTATGTTTACATCATAGCTATGCCCTTGTTAAGACTGCCTTGTCTTGGTATTGCTTGCGAATTAGAGCCATCCTAGTAAGCCACTGCAAAGGATTAAAATCTATGTGTAAACTAGAAAGAGAATAAAAAGTATTCAAGGGTGAGACGGCAGAATCAGGTAATTGTGAATTCCTGTGCTCCAGTCCTGTGTCCATATGTAAGGGCCACACAAGCTACTGTATAGCTATAAAATGAAAAAAGTTGGGGCAGTCAGAAACAGTGTCAGCACAGCTGAACTCGTTTTTCCCCACACACACTTCTCCTGGACTCTAGCAGGAGTGTTTTCTGAGGTCAGGTTAATGCCCCACTATTCAACAGAGCCCAGCCAAGCACTGCAAAAGGGCATGTGTGTGGGCTGGCAGCTCCCAGCCACCGTGGAGAAAAAACCCTGGACAAACACAGAAAACCTGAGCTTCTCCTTTCACCTGGACTTAGCAGCAGATTTGGTGCTTCATAGGGCTTTTTCCTCCTTCCATATCCATCCTTTATGCTGCCTTCTCTCTTCTTTGTTTTGGCTTGATATGACCCCCTTGTCCTTGAAATACTGTCATTTAGTTTTGCCCCCACATTTAAGCTAGTCAAGAAGAAAACTCTTGCTGTGACATGCTCTCTCTCTCCTCTGAGCTGTTCTGCTTGCCTTAGATGTACCAGCAGTACCATAGAATCCTGGAATGGTTTGGGTTGGAAGAGACTTTAAAGGTCATTCCAACCCCCCCTGCCATGGGCAAGGACACCTTCCACCAGACCAGGTTGCTCCAAGCCCCGTCCAACTTGGACTTGAACCCTGCCAGGGATGGGGCAGCCACAGCTTCTCTGGGCAACCTGTGCCAGGGCCCCACCACTCTCACAGGGAAGAACTTCTGCCTCAGATCCCATCTCAATCTCCCCTCTGTCAGTTTAAAGCCATTCTCCCTTGTCCTACCCCTACATGCCCTGGTAGAAAGTCCCTCTCCACCTTTCTTGCAGGCCCTGGAGCCTTTTCTTCTCCAGGCTGAACAAATGTTTCACATCTCCTATCTAGTAACCAGGTGTCATATATTTATTGCTAGATATAAATAGAAATACTCAGAGGGAAACATCATAGAATCATAGAATGGTTTGGGTTGGAAAGGTCCTTTAAGAACAAATGTTAGCTAACACTACAAAATGTCAAAAGTAGAAGACTTCCAAAGCTGAAGCTAGCTGTAAATCTTCACTCTTTGTTCAGGCATAGACAAATTGGATCTGCATATGGTCAAGAAATCAGGAAAGAAGTTCTTCCTAGTATCTAAGCTAAATCTGCCTTTGTCAGTTTAAAGCCATTCCTCCTTGTCCTATCCCTGCAGGCTCTTGTCAAAAGCCCTTCTCCAGATATCTTGCCAGCCCCTTTAGTTACTGGAAGCTGCTCTAAGATCTCCATGGAGCCTTCTCTTCTCCAGGCTAAATGCAAATATTCCCATGGAACCACAAGATCCATCTGGGTTATTGTGTATGAGCAGTCGCAATACACCCATGGGGCTGAACAGGGCTCCTGCACCTGTGTGCCCAATGCCCAGGGGATTCTCCAACTGGTGGTCCGTGGAATGTAAGAACTTGAATCAAAAATGATCTTGAACCAATTAAAAATGCTTTCTGATGTCCTGTGTGCACTTATTTTTCACATAGCCTTCCTGACCACTCTGAATCACTGCTTTTCCACTTTTTTTGCAGCACCACTGTTTATTGAGGATCTCATGGATCAGGCTGCTGCCGTCGGACAGTGTGTGACGCTGTCGTGCCGGACTGCATCTCACTCCTCCCTGCACATCAACTGGTTCAGAGGTGATGTTGGCATCCCTCTAGGGAGTCCTTAATATCAAGAACACAAGTTTAGACAGGCAGGAAAGAGTTTAGACACTTTAGTATAAATTTTTAGGGTACTTATCTCTCCTATCTTCTGCTTTTCAGATGGGTTACCTGTCCAAAGCAGCAGCCGGATCCTCATCTCGGCCACCCTCAAAAACTTCCAGCTCTTAACTATTCTCTCTGTTAGTGCTGATGATTTTGGTGTTTACACCTGTGTGGCCACAAACTCCCTGGGCTCAACATCCACCTCTTGCATCATAAGAAAAGCAGGTAAGAAAAGTACCTACAGAAAAAGACATTACAAGTACTTCTGCCCAAAAGTGTGAACTGTAAACATCTGTCAGGTGAGATTTCTGCAGATAGCTTCAGAGGACAATTCTCATCTGCTCTAGTCCACAGCCCTTGCCGTGTTGGTAGCATGGCACATTTTGCAGGGTTCATTTCCTCTTCTTCTCTGTTTAGTCTCTCTTCTGGATCCAGAGACACTCCAGTTACCATGTGGTTCTAGAACTAAACTCCAAAATCTTAATGCAGAGTTTAAATTAGGCATGGTTAAATTGTTGTTCCACTAGGTGTGTGGGTATACATACATATATTTAAAAATAAATATATTTTATACATATATATATAAAGAATATCTATAACTGAGAAATGCTGGGTAAGAGCTTATGTATCGCAGCAGTGCTATTGCTAACAGTCACTGGGTCTTGTGCCTCCTTTCAATAGAGGTTCCTCCCAGCCCTTCACCTCCTGACATTGTGGAGATCTACAAGGATGGAGTGCAGATGGTCTGGAGACCTGTGGAAACCAACACCCTTGTCCACTACAGTGTCCAGTGCAAGAGCGAAGGTAAAGTGGAATGCTGCCCTTATGCCTTATGCAAAGAAATCTCAATTTGTGTAGTCTCTTCCCCAGCCTGATTTTAGCCCTATAGTTTAGATGTAGGGATGAAATTAATACAGCCATCCTTTAGCCATCTAAAAGTTAGATGTTGTGCTGGCTAAATCAGCAAAGCTTTTGTGTAAGTATACATTTGTGTGAATCTAACTGGGTTACATGGAAGCTATTACCAAAAAGTGAACGGCTGCAGAAGAATATATATGGCTGGAGCCAGATTCACAGTCCTGACTAATCCTCACCAGTTACAGTCCTGTCAATGTTACAAACTAATAATGGCCAACAACAACAATCAACAGATAATATTATCCTATACCCAGGATTTCTGTACAGTCTGTGGAGAAAGAAGGTCTCTCATACTCATCCTATGCTAAAAAGCCATGCTTTCTTTTTCCATTGATTATACAGGAAGGAAACTTAGGGCAAACATGTAGGACAAGATAACAAAAGTTTGTCAAAACTACATCATTCCTTTGATGTTCTCTTCCAAGATATGGTCTAGAGCCTGATGAAGTCAGTGGATGTTTTCTTGTTTAATTCCATGAACTTTGACTCAAATCCCCAAGCCTGTTCCATCTCTCTTGGGGTAGCTTTTGCTGTTATTACTATTATGAATGCTATGTCTAATGGTAATTTCTACCACAGTCACATATACAGCCCTTTGGATTCAACTGCTCCATGCCATGTTCCTTTTTTCACTTCTCCAAACATGCAGGCACAACTTTCTGTATTAGCATGAGCAGGGATAACAGCTTTCTGCCTTTTCATTCTGGAGCTGGTGTCTATTGGTTTTTTTTCCTCCAAGACAACTCTCTCTATTGGTATTCCTTTCACCTCAACTGTAGGAGAGGCTCTGGGGAGGATACAAACACAGGTTGTTCCAATTAGGAAGAAAAACAGGAAGCAGCATCTACAATCTTCCACTGCATTCTGTGTATTTGGCAGGAACAGGCAAAGTCCTGCTTTCCTGAACACAGGATTAAAATAATCGCCAAAAAAACAATTCCTTGTTTTATCCATTACTTGACAGTAGGCTTCTGCATGCTGCTTCTGCAGATGCTTTTCTCTGTTTCTAAGCTGTATCTGCTCCTGCTTACACATATACCCTGATCCAACCAGTACTCTACAAAGACATTGACACCTTTGTTTTGAATGACAAATATTTGTTTGTCCTATGGCTTGAGGCTCTCTACCAGTGTTTATTTGAATGAAAGGATGGACTGAATCTCAGGCAGTCTCGTGGAATTGAAGTTTACCTTGACCACAACAGCAAAGTATGGGATACAGCATCATGTGAAATGAATGATCATTAAATGTTTGCTGGTGATTTTCTACTTCACACCTTAGTTCCATGAGTAATGAGTCCAGAATCTATGTACAATTTCAGTTCCCTGAGAAATCATCTGAGTTTCACAAAAGGTGATTAAACCTGCCCAAGTTTTAAACACTGGGCTTGCTAGGAGGGTGTTAGTGGGTAGTTCTGTCCTGAAACCCTGCACCTCATGCTTTCAATTGGATCCAAGACAAGGGCAAAGGGAAAAAGCAGTTATTTTGCTAGGCTTTTGTTTGGAGTTCTTGATGTATATTTGCATTAGATATTGGTGGCATGAATTAGATAAACAGAAACTATACAGGAAAATTTCACCATTGATCTGAAGCAATATTGCCACACCTTGGACTGATTTCACAAAAAATGAGTTTGGCACAGGTACAGCAAGCAGCACCATGCACAGAAGTTGGTCATAGCAAGTCAACTTTTCCTTCACTCTATAAGACTCCAGTGTTTCCCCATATTCCCAGCACATAAATAAAGCTGATGAAAAACAACCAACCAACAAAACCCAAAACCTCAACACACACAGCCCCCAGTGTGACCATACTAAATGAGTCCTAATCTGATTTCTGTCTTTCCTTGGTTAAGATGGGGAATGGACAACCCTTGCTTCTGACATTGCTGACTGCTGCTACAGAGCCAAAAGTCTCTCCAAGGGGTTTATCTACTGCTTCAGGATAGCCTGCACCAGTAAAGCTGGAATGAGCCCTTACAGTGACCCATCTGCCAAAGTAAAAATCACTGGGAAGGATCAAATGGGTAAGTTCAAATGCCAAGGAAGCATTGTGCTTTCCCTAAATCAAAACAATTTTATCCTTTTGGATGTGGGTCCAGAAGAGAAGAGGAAGTGAATCAAAACCAATTCTACTTGGCTGTGTGTAGTTTAGGGCTTCCTTCTCTTTGGCTTTCTTATTTAAAAGGAAATTATTTTCTAATTCTGGACACAGGGGACTAAGTACAAATATATAATAAATACATAATAAAATAATAACTATGTAAATAAAAATAATATGTAAATATATAAAATAAAAATAATAATTAAATAGAAATCTGGAAAATCTAAATTACCCACTGAAGGCATACTCATTTTTTTTTATGTGAAATCATGAAGAAACAGGTCTGGGCCAAGGAATGTGTTACTGAAGGCATTGATCTATTGGTATAAAGCTGCCACAGGTGAAAGCTCTGGACCTGCTCTTTGCTATGGACTCAGTCCTAAGTTCGGTAGTTAAATTACACATTCTGATGTTTGCTACTGGGAATTATCACCCTACTGTGACGCATTTTCAGCTGTATTTTGTTTCTGAACTGGATTTACTTTTTTTTTTCACCTGTTTGAATACTTTGTACTATTCACATGTTTTTAAAATTAAGGAATCTGTAACCCCACAGCAAATATAATCTTGTAGCAAGGGAAGCATCCTTTCTGCCAAGAAGTGGAAGGATGGTCTAACTGGAACTTCCTCCCAGTGGAGAGGATTTTTCTGTAAAAATCAGTTCTCAGAGATATTTTTAACTCACTCCAAATCCTCTGCTTTCCCAGGATTCATTAACATATCTCAATGTGTTTAGCATTTCCAAGCAAATGCTTGAATGTGCCATGGGATGCTTTAGTATTTCAGGGAGAACTTGGACACAACCACATACCAGAACCAGAGCAACATGTTTCAGTTGCTGACTTGTTATGTGAGAAGATGAGACTCATAGCTAAGATGTTTGCTATCATCGCACACAACATACAATCCATCTCATGTAGTCTGGAGTGGTCACACCAAGGAATTACTGGGTGGACAGTCCAGAATCTGTTGCATTCAAATAGCCTTGGGTACTGCCGCTGGGAGACAACCTGCAGGCTAGCCTGGAGAAAGCTCTGCTGTAGCCATTGGAATTGTTCATAGATAGCAGAAGGTAGCTTAGAAAGGCTTCAGTTTCCACACGGAGATGTTTTCCTTTGTAATCCCTGTTGTTTTTTTCTCTGCAGAGCTCCATGCTGCAATGCAGAGCTTTCCATCAGCTGCTACTGAAGAAGAGAGTGAAATAATCACACCATCTGAGCCTTTCCCAACCTACCAGACCTATGCCTTCCAAACAGAGATCAAAAGGTAGTGAATCCAGCTGAGCTCTCAAACAGCCAGAGGGGAATGCTGCATGTGGCTGGAGTTTAGAAAAGTCAGTTAAATAATCGTGCTGCTCACCTGGTGTCATGGTGTTTTGTTGAAAACACCTCCACAGTAATACATATAAACCTGAGTTTATTGGTTGAGCAGTTGTCATCTTGGTTTGGTAGGTGCAGATTTTCTGGGAGAGCAAAAGGGTCTGTTCTGAGCACTCTGTGCTGGGCAGCATCAGATATTATGAAGAAAGCCCAAGGCAGTCAACAGCTCCTTTTCTTTCTTCATCAGTCTTTGCAGCCACTAATTTCAGACACGGGGGTGGGATCCAACTTTCTCTGCCTGGAAGACAGGCATCAACTTCCATTGCCAACAGGGGGTAGTTCTCTTGCTTGAGACAGAATGAGCCACCTTATCTCTCTCCAAAGAAGTTCTCACTCCTGCAACTGAAAGTGACTGTACACTCAGGAGTCTCAGGAGGATGTGCAAACTGTGACAATAGTTGTGATAATTCTGCACCATGCATGGATGAAAAATACAGTACGAGATCCTGGTGGTTTTAATGAACAGGAGCTTCTGGCTCTTCCGGGAGTAGCAGAGAAGCTTAACTTGCCTTTGTGTTCCTTTGTACCAGGGGGCGTTTCAGCATCGTCCGACAATGCAGGGAAAAAGAAAGTGGCAAGACCTTAGCTGCCAAAATCATCCCTTACTGGCAAGAGGACAAGCAGAATGTGCTCCTGGAGTACCAAGTCCTGAGGAAGCTTCATCACACAAACATTGCTCAGCTGAAAGGAGCCTACATCAGCCCACGGCACCTAGTGTTGATACAGGAGATGTGTGTGGGACCAGAGCTACTCCACTCTTTGGCATTACGGTAATAACGAGTGGATGGAAGAGATTTCCAGTTAGGGCTGGCTTAGGGAGCAAAACACCTATTGCTTTCGCCTGACAAACTGGATCATCTCTCTTCATGTGTTACAATGTGCTGTCATCACACACAGGATTTGCGATGCAGTTGTTCTTGTGATAAACAAAAATAATTTCAGCTCCTTATTAGGTTGGGGTAGCGGACAATTCAGGCCCACCCAGCAGAGAAGTTGAAAGCAGTTTACTGTATCTGATATGTACCCCCATGTCCCATAACATGTAGCTCAGGAAGCCTCATTTCTCCTCCACATTGTTTCTCACAGAGGCAGAAAATGGATCTGTTGAAATCCTCTGACTAAAGGAGAGGGAATGGTGAGCATCAAACCTGCATTTTGATTTCTGCACAACCATTGCTTTCTCTGTCATACAGCTCTGCAACCTCCTGGACTTGCATCTGTAAACCTGACTCACAGTATGGACTGGCCTCTAAATATACAATAGATTTGCTAAATGAATAGAGCTGCTTCTTCTTGACTCTCAGGGGCCTCATAGGATTTTATATCCAGGGGAGGATGACAGTGGGTATAGAACAACATTCTTCGGCATGTAGATGGGACACCTCTGTTTTCTGTTCCTTCTACCAGAACATCATACTCAGAAGTGGAGGTCCGAGATTACCTGTGGCAGATCCTCAGTGCCATTGAGTACCTCCATGCACACAACATCCTGCACTTGGATCTCAGGTCTGAAAACATGATCGTCACTGAGCCCAACCTGCTGAAACTCCTGGATTTTGGCAACGCACAGTTCTACACACAAGACAAAGTTATTATCATGGACAAGTGCACGGACTATGTTGAAACCATGGGTGAGTAGAGTTCAATCACTGCAACCCTGGCCTTGTATTATCCAATCTGTGGTAGACAGAAAAACACAGCCATTGGTCAAGGCAGCAGCTGGCCCCAGCAAGCAGTCTCCCATGTACTGCTCTCTGTAACTGTATGAGTTTGTGGGAGCACCTTGGAGTGACAGCCCTCCCACCTAGAAGTCATGGCTGGCATACATGTGCCCAGAGCTCAGGGTATAGTATTACCGCCATTTGGTCTCATGTTCATTGAACTTGTCCACCTCAACCAGCTCCCTAGTGCTAGAAGCTTTTACTTCTTCACTCTTAGGAAAGCAGCAAAGCATAAAATTACCTACTGCTTTTGTGTTGGTCTCAGTGCATTGAAAAGGAGCTTGGCTCACACCAGTTTGCTTTTCTAGCTCCAGAACTGCTGACAGAGCAAGGAGCCCTCCCACAGACTGATATCTGGTCCATTGGAATCACAGCCTTCATCATGTAAGTCAATCTATCCTTCCCTACCCTACAAGTGGCTTTAAAAGTGCAACTTGAGAGTCATCAACCAAGGGAGATGCATTGACTCAGTGTTAACCTCAGTTGTGCACCCTGTCATTGGCAATGCTGCAGAAGGCTGTGTGATGGACAGTATGGAGCTGGCTGCAAGGATGCCTAGTCCCAGAGATATCTCCACATAGAGTAAGGAGACAGTTTTACAGCACAGCAGCTGCTGGTGTTCCTCACTCAGCCTCATCTGAAAAGCCTTGACTTTACCAAGAAAATTTAAATCACAGCAAGTGGAAAAGCAGCCAAAGTAATGAAACTCACTGAAGCACAGTGGCCTTTGGGGGTTTGTTTTCCCATACGATATTTCTGTGCATCATTGTGATTTTCCTCTCACTGCTGGGTGGGAATTCCTGGGAGAAGAAATGATGCCCTCCATGCTGATCAATTCTCTTCTTTTGGGGCAGGTTGAGTGCCAACTACCCGGTCAGCTCCGACGTAGCCTGCGAGTTCCTGAGAATGGCCAGGAAGGGTAAAGTGAAACTCACACGATGCTACGCGGGTCTCTCCGGGGGAGCAGTATCCTTTCTCCAGAGCACACTGTGTGCAAACCCCTGGTAAGATGATGTCTGCTCTCCCAACAGCACAGGTGGTGCGGACCCAGGCTATTGCCCTTTTTTTCTCTCCATTTGCAAGAAGCCTCCTCAACCAGCACAAATCCCCAGCTGACCTACTCACCTCTCTTCGTTCTAGGGGAAGGCCATCAGCCTCAGAGTGCCTTCAGAGCCCATGGCTCCAGGAGACAGGCTTGGACAACAGGCAGCAAGCACTGGTGACCTTCCCCACTACCAAACTAAGGAATTTCCTCACTGAACGGGAAAAGAAAAGGGGCCTGCTGTGCTCCAAGTATGGCCTCATGATTGCACAGTGACGTGGATGCGGCGACAGATGTCTCCCTCTCCCCTTCTGCATTTAGTGTTTGGTACCTGCCCTGGGTTCAGCAGTAGCAGTCATTTTTCTCCTTCGTAGTAGCTGGTGCAGTACTGTGTTTTTGACTTTCAGCTTGGGAACAACGCTGATAACACCGATGGTTTTAGTTGCTGCTCAGCAACATTTACTCTGACCAAGGACTTTGTGAGTCTCATGCTCTGCCAGGGAGAAGGGGAAGCCGGGAGTAAGCAGAGACAGGACACCTGACCCAAACTAGCCAAAGACGTATTCCATACCACAGCATGTCATGCCCAGCATATAAACTGGGGGCAGTCACCCACAAAGGTTAGATCACTGCTTAGGTCGGGCTGGGTATCGGTCGGGAGGTGGTGAGCGGTTATATTCTCTTCCCTGGTTATTTCCCTTATCATTATTATTAGTGGTGGTAGCAGTAGTGATTTGTGTTATACCTTAGTTGAGTGAGCAAGCAGCTGCATTGTTCTGAGTTACCGGCTGGGTTTAAACCACGACAGTACAAATAGTCCTGCTGAGTTGCTGTGCATTGCCTGAGCTGGGGTAACTACTCTCTGTGAATGCAGTTTAACACAACTGAACGAATTAATCCATATCATTGCCACAAGGTAAGAAGAGAAATATAGACTGTTAACATGGCTCAGCTGCCCCGTGGTAACTTGACGATACATGTGTCACGCCCCTTGGAATAACCAGGGAAGGTTTTTGAATGTATCTAGCCACCAGCCCCAAGCAGCTTTGCAAACCCTTCCCTGAGGTCAGAAAGACTCCATGCATACAAATGGTGGGCACTGGCTTCTGCCCCTGGCCCCAGACATGGTAACGCTTTCAGACGTTACTGCTCATGCCACTGCAGCAGGGTCTGAGGGACTAGTGTGTTTCTCACCTGCCTCCAATCCAAAAGAATTCAGTGACCAGTTATGAAGCGAAAACAGGGAAGAGTGAAGCACTTTTGAGGAGCTAACATTAGACAGCAATGTGTGGAAATAACCTGGCCACCAGACAGTAAAGGCAGCAATGACAATGAAGTCACTACATGCAGATGCTGTGCCACTAAGAGACTTTGCCACTTTGAAGCCAGGCTACTCTTCTCTGGGGAGTGCAGAGGCATATCTACCAGGAGATGTGACAGCAGCATCACTGGCAAATGCTGCATGGTTTAATTCTTTAAAATAAATAAATAAATAAATAAATGCTGCATGGTTTCATTCTTAAAAAAAAATAAAAAATCCTGAACTTTCATGTTTCTCTCTGTCCTTCAAAATCTGCTTTCCTTTGCAATGGATGGTGTTAGCTGTGTCATTACTTTGTACTTATAACCTCAGTGTTCCTTTGAGTTTCTCTGAAGTGAATGATGTATTTATCTGTGTTTAGAGGAGCAGGAACACAGTTCCTAAAGCATTGCAGTTTAATACTAGAAGTGGTGCAGTTTAACCAGGGGTGATCTTTTCAAATATATTGTTCCAAACCTGAAGCATGCAGCATTATGACTCCTTCCCTTGCACAGGGTGCCTAGGAAGAGCTGTAACTGGCAGCAGAGGAGTTTTCACTGTGCTGCAGAGAGCAGACGCCAACTCAATACATCAAAAAGCTTTGAATGCCAAAGTAATAATTGTCTTCACTATGCACTACATAACTGAAAACCAGGGGTTTAGGGCCAGACTCCATGCTCAGTTCTCTTGGGGAGATAGATGACTTAGACGAGACACACACTGAAGTGAGGTCCATTCCCCAGTAAGCTTTTCAAGACTGTATTCCTTCTAATTTAACGTTTTACAAATCCAGTAAGGTTTCTGTTGGCACAGGCTGGTTCTTTACTCTTGCTGGTACACTTTGGGGTGGAAAACTCAGTGCCTGGGACAGCCCATCGAAGCATAAAACTTCATTGCAGATTAACTTCCACACTCTTCTGTTTATGACTCAGATTAAGTTAGTCTTATTTTTTCCTTTTGTTTATCCCATTTGAGCATGTCAGAAGTCATAACACACTCAATATTGTTTGGTTAAATAAGCCATTCTTACAACAAAGTAAAATCAGATTTTTCTGCTGAATCATGGTCATAGTCATTATTTTTATATCCCTTTCCCAAGGGACCCATCCCTCAACTCTAACCTGGGGTCCCTACAAATGATAACCACAAAGGATAACCACAAAGGATACCTGTGCCTTAGCAGTGAACAACCTTCATGCAAACCGTCCACACAAAGAATCCTCTTGCTAGAGCCTTGGAGTGAGGATGTCTCTTGGGCAGGATGTCACTATGGCTCTGACCTGCCCAGCTATCCCAAGGATTCCTGCGCATGGTTTGGAGCTTGCAAAGATCAAACCATTGACCAGAACATGGGAAGAACTCCATCTTAATTCTTGGTAGGAAAGAATTGAACCCAGAGCTGACAAAAAAAGAGGTAAGAACTGTAGAGAGGGAATATGGAAGTCGGGAAAAGGTGCTGGAATTGCTAATGGGAATATTAGCTGGCACAGTCAAGGCTTGTGCAGTCGCAGGTAGTTTTTGTTTTCCTTGGCTTTGCCACAGCTACTGGATAAGTTTTTGGCTGAATTTGCGCTACTGTAAGGTCTGGGCTAATGCCCAGTTTGCCATTACAAGATAGTTTGCCCTCGGCATGCAGTTACAACATAAGCCTGTCCTCTGCAGAACAAAACACAATCTGGATGTGATGTTTGGACACACGTGCAAATGTTTGAGTTTCGTTCTGTAGTCACACATAACCTCTAATGTCCAAGGTTAGCATCAGCATTAAAATCAACCCATTGTTGTCTGTGTGGTTAAGGCTGTGATTTAACTTCTGTAAGGACTGGTGTTGCCAGAGCCCTGATTATTGAAGGGGAAAAAAGCCGACACAGAACTTGTAGAGCAAAATTTTATCCTGCACTAGATCCAGGGGCTAAAAGAGATGTTTGGGGGCTTATAAGGTCTCAGTGGCTATAGCCTTTAGGGGAGTGAGCTTGTTTTCTCATAGAACCATAGAATGGTTAGGGTTGGAAAGGACCTTAAGATTATCCAGTTCCTACCCCCCTGCCATGGGAAAGGTCACCTCACACTAGACCATGTCACCCAAGACTCTGTCATGCCCAACTTTGGTTTTCCAGCCTCTTCCCATCACCCCATTCCATTCCTTATAGCCTCCTTTGCATAGGATGAGGTCTCAATTTGGAGGGGGGGAGGCACTTTTCAATAGGCATTTTCTGGATACACCATCAGCCCGTGTGACTCAAGGAGAGGGTGGAAGAGCTCACCCCTGACCAAGGCTCGAGCACTGCAGTCCAGACAGCCTGCAACCTCACAGGAGCACACCTGTTCCCAGCCAGCAGGCAGAGTCCAAAATTTCTGGGCTTGTGCAATGATTTGGGTTAAAGCAGGGGCTGGTTTGCTTCTGGGTGTGATCCTGCCTCGGCTGTACGTACCAATGCTCCAGATGTGTTACAGTCAGTAGGATGAAACCAGACACACACAGACAGCTTTTTTTTATCCCCAGAAATAAGACAGAGAGCTTGAATGCACAGCCTCCTGCAGCCCTGGAAAGGCAGGTGACTGCATGCATTCTCACAGATATGTGGAAATGGTACTGTAGGTTATTAGCAGCTTGCAATTCCCTTCTCTTCCATGGATGTGGTAAACAAAATTGGCAAGATCTCTCCTTTTCTTAAACATGGAATGGGAAGGAGCTGTTGCTATGTCATTGCTGAGTACATTCCACCTCTGCTCCCTTGCGGATCTCCTCTCATACAAGAAGGGGACTATAGACAAGACAATTTGAAACCCCAAGGAAATTCTTACATATCTAGAGAGGATATTTGTTGTTCTGTACCATTTCAAGGGTTTACTATAAGCTGATGCCATCCTGCAATAATAATTCATGCAGAAAACAAATTAGTTGGTAAGGAGCTGGCAACACAATAATGCAGTCCCAATGCTGGTGTGAAGCTGGGCTCACCCCCAGGCTCCCAGGACACTTCACTTACATGACAACTCATCTGGCCTGATCACTGTTTGCACACTAGTGTCAGCTGCCAGCCCCATGGACACATGGGTCTTCCAACTCAAGGTCTTTAAGGAAAGGATTTTAGTAAGACAATAGGGACAGACTGTGCTCATCAGGTGCAGGATGTATCTACCGGTGTACTTGTCTGATGTATGACCAGACAAGTGTACGGACCAGCTGACTATTTTCACACAATCTTTTTTCCTCCTCACAATCAACTCTATTTTCCTCCCCCACACAATAGGGACAGACTGTGCTGATCAGGGGCAGGGTGTATCTGCCAGTGTACTTGTCCGATGTATGACCAGACAAGTGTATGGACCAGCTGATTATTTTACCACAACCTCTTTTCCTCCCCACAATCAACTCTATTTTCCTCCCCCACACAACCAACTTTATTTTCCTTCCCATATCCCATAAATCCCTCCTTTTCACCTTTGGGTTTCCCCCTAAACATCCCACAGTGAGTTCTGTACAGTCTCAAAATGTTCTTCCCCTGGATGCCATAACACGTCCCCCATCCCTTGACAGCAATGCCCCTTACTCCAGCCGGTGATTGAAAGAGCTACTCTGGATGAACCATCATAATGGGTCTCATGCTGGGAACATGGAGGTGATGGCTCTGCTGGGACAGCCCTGGGAGGGACCTGGACAAAATACTTGTTTCTTGGAAGCCCTTAATTTGGGTTCCCACCTGCCAGTAAGTCCCTGTGCTCCTCTGGGCATGTGCAGACGGCTTTTGAGGGGATGATGGCCCCCTGGATGGGGGAAAAAAACACCTCCAGTGGTTGCTTCCAATCTCAATCATTCTGTAATTCCGTGATCCTGTGCTATCAAGTGTTGGCAGGACACTGATCTGATAAGCAGGGGATCATACAATTTATTTCACAGATAACACCAGAACAAACAACACAAAGACTTTGTAAACTAAAAGCGTAACCGGTATCTAAACCGAACATCACAGGCAGGCTGCATTGTCCCAAATCCCCAGCGGCTTATGTCTATGGCTGGGATCTCCTCTTCTCTGTTGACCAGCTCCAGGTCGTACAGACTCAGCATCAAGAATACAAACATTTTAATTTCAGTGGAAGCGAAGAACCGCCCAGGACAGATGGATACTCCTGCCCCCCAAGGCATGTTGAAGTATTTCAGCCTCTTCCCATTTTTGTAGAAATATTTCTTGGTGCCATCTGGGTTTATGAAGCGGTCGTACTTAAATTCATGAGGCTCAGGGTGAATTTCTGGGTTCATCTGCACAGACATGTGTGGGAACAGGGCCACCCTGTCTCCTTTGCGGAGGGTGTACTCTGTCCCACTGCTTGTCTTAAGGCTGATGTCCTCCAGAACAGCTCGGATCAGTATTGGGGCTGCAACCAGCCTCAGGGTCTCCTCCAGAGCACTGTCCAGAACTGGAGTCTGGTTTAACATGTCCCTAGTGACGTTAATTGGTGGGCTCCCTGGCTTCGTTTCTTGGGCATTCTCCCTTGAGACTTTATCTACCTCATCCTTCACAGCCTTCATTGCTTCTTCATGTTTCATTAGGTACAAGAGAAGCCAGAAGGCAGTTGGGCCTGTATTGCCTTGGGATGCCCAGAGTAGCATAAACATGAAACGATCCCGCATGTACTCAGGGACACCGTTTTCTGCCAGAAGCTGGTTTTGATCACTTATCCACCCACTGATATTGTCCTTTTGCCAGCTTTTCTTCACAGACAGCATGCTCCAGAAGAGCTTCTTCAGTCGTTCAGCTTCTATTTTGTCCTTGGGAGGCAGCACAGCAAAGGCCAGGCGAGGGAAGAGGCGGTCGTACTTCCGAAACTCATGGAACATCTCGTTGGAGTGGATGCGATCTTGCTCATTAGCTTTCTCCTTGTTTTCTGCCCCTTGGTGTGGCTGGGTGCCATATAGAGCCAGGTACCCAGCTCTGAAGACAATATTGTAGCAGTAGTCAAAGAGGCTATCCTCTCGCCACACTCGCTTCTCCTCTCCTGAGCTCAGGTTGAAAAGCATCAGCTTCTTAAAGTTCTCCATGGTGGCTTGTGTCATGACAGTGAGACCATCTCCCATCAGATGCTTCGTGCTTGATGCATGAATTATGCTGTGGTTGGCTTCAATGGGCTTGTAGCCAAAAACCTGCAGGACGAGTTTAGATGCAAAAGTCCTAAAATCTAATTTAGATCGTGATTCCTTCACAATGGCTCCAAAGCAGGATGGGTCCAACACAAAGGTGAAGTAATAGCCACCAATCAGCACCGTGAAAATATCCCCATGTTTTCTCTGCATCTTTTTCAGAAACCTTGAAGTGTCCTTTCTGAAATCCAGAGCATACCCCAGCCAGGGAATTATACCTTTGTCTAGAGGTGGTTCACCAGGTCTCTGTCTCCGAAACATACCCAGGAGGTAGAGCCCACCGAACAGTAATCCTATCAAGGTACAGAGGAGAATCTCGCAGAGTGCCATGAGAGCTCTGTGCCCATCCAGCACGTTGGACTACAACTAGATTGGGGCAGAAACGTGCTTTTTATTCCCATCCAGCAACGGATATGCAGATGTGAAGCTGACGACCTCTGTCCCTATTGGCAGGAAGCGTTCACCTTTCCCCTGTAAAGCACTGCAATGTGTACACTTCCCTTGATGAACACATATTTTTAAGGTGGAAGGTATGTTGTAATCAAGTTACCAGGCTGCTGTGTAAGGTGGATGGGTTTTGATGTGTGCTCTGTAGCAGCTTAAAAAGAATTCCCTTTCCTAGGCTGCATGGAGCTCAGGTTTTGAAAAAGAAGGTTCAGAGAATTTCACTCAGTGATTTCTGCCAGTAAGATCAGGCTATGGATACATGCTGCAGGCTGAAAACCTGAGAGAAAGAGCAGATGTTGGAAATGCTACTGGAAATGAGCTCAGGACCAAGGGAAGGAGGTTACAGCTGAGCTAATTTGGCCTCAAAATAGAAGAGAAGAAAAGGTCTCTAACATTTTGATGTTCTCCTGCACACAGTGTCCCATGAGTGCTTTCCCAGTGAGCGCTGCAAGCACTGCTAACCCGTACGAGGGTAAATCAAACCAAGTCTGCTTGCCCCATGAGTGATGAGGGCTTCAATCAGTTGCATTTGCTTTGCACCAGATGAGTCTGGAGTCTGCAAATGGCCAAGCCTGCCTCCTGGCTAGAGAGCAGCAGTGCCTAGGATGGATGCCAGCACTTTCTTCTGGGCCAATGCATGCACGCTCGGCACCTGCAAATCAGTCATGTCCCCTCCAGCCAGTGGAGGGCCCACAACCCTCTGCCCTCCTGCTCCCACCCCTGTATACTTGGCAGTTTTACTCATCTTCCCTTCTGCTTCTTCATCTCTCTTGCTCCCCATTCTCTGGACGGTGTCTGGGGATGATGCCAGGGATGTCACGCGCCCATCCGGCACTATGCCTCTGGGTGCTGCCACCCTGATCTGCACAGCCTTGGTCCCAGCCACTGGCACTTGGACCTCACAGCACCTTCATGCAGGATAGAATGACATTGTCACTCTCTATGTGAAAAGATCTAGTAAACCAAAAAGTATTTAATAGAATGTGAAAGAAAAAGTATTTAATAAGGAGATAGGACAAACTGCTGTGAGCAGTCATCGGGAATGTTGCTTACAGCCCCTTTTACACCCCCCCTTCCCCCATTTCCCCCACCTTTGCCCTTCCCCTGAGCATCCCATCATAAGGTTTGCACAATCCCACGAGCCCTGCTCTGTATGGGATCACAATCTTTTTTTGGTTTCACTTCCCAGCTGCATTCTCCTTCCATGTTCCCTCTCAGGGACCTGACCCCTGCAGTGACGGACACATCACAGTATCAGCTAGATATTTACTCTAGGTTTGTTGGTTATTTTGTTGGGCTTTTTGTTTGTTTGTTTGTTTAAAAGTTCCCATCCCTACCATTTTGGAAGCAGCTGGCAAGAAACAGCAGTGAAAACAATCCACCTTCCTTGATTAACTCAAAGCCCTTTTTGGTCCAGTAGTCTTGTCTAGTGATAAAATTAAGGTGATGAGTGTTTTCTTTTAAATTATTGATTTTATTTGTACAATTCCAGGCAACTCCCAAGTTCAATAGCTCGCCAGGCTGGAAAGGGCCCATGTAAGGTTCAAGAGTATCTGGGGTGAATAGTATCTTTAAATAAAGGTCAGCAAACTAGTAACTTTGAATTTTAAGGCTATATTGGCTAATAAGGATTGGCTAGCAGCTATACATGCTCTTCTGTTCAAGGAGGCCATGCTCTCAGTCTGTGGTTTTGCAAAGCCAATATTTATATTAAAGATGGTATCTGTGGGTCTTTCTATCTTGTCAAAACAAATCTTTGAGAAGGCAAATACCTCCACCACTGTTCTGCTAAGCACAGTTGGTTTTTTTCTCTTTCTCCCTGTTTGTTACTGGTTTGTACTTTGTTGTTGATCAAACTGATCTCTAATCAAAGATCTGTCCCTTGGAATGACACAGTTTCCTGCTCAGCAGACCTGAGTGTGACATAGCTCTTCATAACAGAGAAACTTGTCATTGGTCAGATAGCTTCATTTAAAGGTGCCTAATTCCTCATGTTGTCTCTCCTGGTAGACAAAGGGATGAGCCTGGTTGAACACAACTACCTGGCAGATGGTGAAAGCCAGAAGTAAAGCCACCCTCGAGGCTGAGCTTCAGGCCACCTGTGTCTGGCCTGATGAGCATGGCAAATCCATTCCCCAGCCCACAGCACAAGCTGGAGGATGACAGAATGGCTCTCCTCCATCAGACCCTTCAGACCCTTTGGGATCTAAGAGGGGAGAAGTTCCGCACAAGTTTCAGTTTGCATTTTAATGGCACAGCATCTAGACAGGCTGCTCCTTCATTCACTAGTGCCAAACAGGAGGTAGTGAATGACATTCACATACTCCAGACAGGAGCTGGGCTTCTCGCACATTAATAAAACCTGGTCAATCCTTTTATAATAATACCAGTCACAACAGAAACAAATCTCTCACGTACTTTTCCAATCCCAGTGTGGAAAATCCTCATCTTGATGCTGGTGCTAGGATGAAATATCTGGTTACTCACCAACTCCATCACACAGCCATGACCAGTAAAGTACACTATAGAGGGCATACACACAGTCTAAATAATGTAAATATTTATCATGCATTTGTGATACTCAACACTTCTATCTCAGCTGCATATCTGCTGCAAGATTGGCTTGTCTCTTGAAGGCTGGATGTCAAAGAAAGCACTTCTCCGGAAAATGGCCTGGGGGATCTTCCATAAACATAACCTGAATCATTTTTTCACAAAGGCATATAGAAAGAGGTTAAGACAGCAGTGGACAAAGGACAAACTCTCCGTGATCTGCATGGCACAGTCCAGTCGTCTACTGCTGCTTTCACAGCTCCTGATCACGCCAACATCTTGCAGGGAGTGAAGGATGAGGACAATGTTGTAAGGGAACCACAGGACAAAAAAGACACCCACCAGAGTAAGGACTAAGCAGAGTGCTCTCTTTGAGCCAGGCATCTGAGACATAGGGAGGACACACGCTATGCGGGAATAGCAGAACATCATGAAGAGGAAGGGAAAAAGGAAACCCAGGGTGTTTTGCATGACCCAAAAGACAACTTTCCAAAATAAGTGATTCTGGCCATAATCATGGGCACACACGATGGTTTTGTTGTGGATTTGTGTTGTGCTGGTGAAGAGACCATCAGGAATGGAGAGAAGTATGGAAAGGACCCATCCCACCAGCAACATGAGGATGGACTTCCTCCACGTCATGGAGCTATTTGAAGAGCAAGCATGAACTATCTGCAGACACATGTCCAGACTCATGCAGCTCACAAAACAGAAACCACTGTAGAAATTCACAGTGTACATGGCATTTAAGACCAGGCACAATATGTCCCAGGTCACCCACTGAGAAATGTACAGAGCCCAGAAAGGAAGGGTTAATAGCAAGAAGAAGTCTGAAACCATCAAGTTCAGCAGATACACTTTGGTAACTTCTTTTTCTTCTTGATGTCCATAATGAGAACAATAAAGAGGAGGGCATTCCCGGCCAACCCGACCAGGAAGACCACAGTACAAAACAATGGCAAAAATACTGTGCTGAAGGAGAGTACCTCTTTTTTTTTGCAGGGGCCATACTGCTTGTAATCCTCCTCATCCAAATACTCATACAGATAGTCACTCGAACTGGCAGCATCCATCAAGGCTGTAGCGGTTGCTGTTGCATTTGATAAATGGCTGCCTAGGAGCAAAAGACAAGTGAAGGGGATCAAAATGTTATTCCAATTCACACAGGAAAGGCAAGCATCACATCATGGAGCATTTTCCTTTAGTCCATAGGTTTAAATTTATGCCACTTTCTGATAAGTATTTTGTATCCTCCACTCCTTGGCCTTTCCCTATGGCATGGGGACAGCCGTCTACACATACATATGAAAATAAATAAAATAAAATAAAATAAAGTTCAATCTGGTTTCCTTACTCTGACATATTCAAACTTGAAAGCAAAAGAGCAGCCTCCTCTGACACAACTCACCACTTCCTTCTGATGCCACTGCAAGCTTTTGAAAAAAATTCTGCTCTAAGTTACAGGAAATCCTCCACGACACCTTGCGGTGAGCTGCTTTAGACTCACCCAGGTCACAACTGAGAAAGCAGCATCTCAATTCTCAGTGAAGCAGAACCTGCCACTGACACCTTTATGTTGATGCAGCTGCTCCCTCAGGTGAAATGCTCAACATCTCACTCCTGGTTGAACACTGATCCCTCTCAATGCCAACTCTAGGACACCAAGCTATGGATTTTTGTAAAAGGTATTAGGAAGTGTAAAATATGGATTCATAAAATCATAAAATGGTTTGGGTTGGAAGGGACCTTAAAGATCATCTAGATCCAACCACCTGCCATGGGACACTTTCCACTAGACCAAGTTGCTCAAAGACTTAATGAAGGTAAGGACATGTAGGAACCAAAATCAACTCCTGAATCAAAGTCAGAGGTAAAGATTTAGCTGGAAGGATGTTGCTGGAGTTGATCCTGCATGAGAGGATGCATGGGCTGAAACACTGCTGACCGAGGAGAGCGAGGGCCGTGAGGTTGGCCACTCCCCAGGACTGAAGGGTGGTGTCAGTGTTTAGACAGCTGCAATCCAGATTTCAGGAAATGATGAATGATTTGGAGAGCTTCCTACTTCTGCAGTCTGATTTTCAGAAAAAAAATTAAAAAAAAACCCCACATAAGAACACTACAAGGGTTTCATTTTCTAAAAGCCATCCAAACTGGGCAATGGTTGTCACTAAAAAGCCTGTCTTGTGCAGTGGGAGATGGGATCTGCCTGAGCTACCTCCCAACAGTACCATGAAGTTCATTGTGAGGTTTAAAAATCAAGCCTAATCACCAGGCTCTGAGAATAAACCAGGGCTGTCACAGAGAAAAATCGTGCAGATACCACTCCACCCCTAAACCATACCATTTTTCAGCCATGGCCAGAGATGCCCACCTTTCTCCTGGGGCTTATTCTTCCAGCAATCCAAGGCATGACTGTGTAGCTCCCTGCCTGCACTCACTCCTGCCTTGCTCTCTTTGACGATATTTCTCTCATTGCCCAGGAGACCTGCAGCCACCAAGTAATGATAAAATGAAACTGCTGGTCCCTGGTTGTGCTACACATCCCAAGGGGAACATACACCAAGGTGGCTCTGCAACTTCTAGGTATGGCTCCCTTCCCACAAACACCCCAGGAAAGGGGGCACACACAGGCTAAGCAAAGTACCTGAGGCTCAGAGTGGGGTGCTGAGGAAGCCTGTGGGTGTGCAGCTGTAAGGGGTGAAGTTGTGGACAAACCTGTTGTAGTCCCATGTCTAAAATTGTTCAAATACTCATTCCAGGCACTTCCAGGCAGCTGAAAACAGAATTTGTTTTGGGCTGGATTGAAATGTTTTCTTGATGTCTTGCAGTTCTTTGGTGATTGCCACAGGGCACTTCAGACAGCAGCCACACAGAGCAGAGATCTGCTATGGGAGAGTGATACAGTAAGACTGTTCTGGGCATTAGCTTATATATATATATTTCAGAGAAGAACCGTGCTTCTCTATATGCAGCTCTGACTGTATGCCCTTGAAAGGAAATCAAAGCTCCCCACCCTTCTGAACACAGCAACACCCAGCAAGATTCTCAAACACCTCTCCCCACATGCCCTCTGCTCCCATAACAGGACAAACCATCTCCAAAGTTTCCATTTCTGGGTCTCTTCCAGCCCACCAGGATGCCTTTTCTCCCTTTGCCGCATCTTCCTCTCTCTGCACCATGCTGGCGCTGACATTCACATGCCCATCCCCATAGCTCATAGTGGAAAACTGAAAACATAGGCTGAGCTCAGAGATTAATTCCAAGCTTGCTGAAGCACCAGTGCCTAGGAGCTGGCTCAAGAAGAAAACAGAATTTCTCCAGGTTTCTCATGCTGCTTTGTCTACAAGTAAGAAGGAGAAAATGCACTTACAGGAGCTTCTTCTCCTGTCCCCATCCTGCCAGATGCTTGAATCAACTTTTAGGAACCTCTTTTACTTGTGTAAGAGCATGGGCAGGAAATTTGAGTTCAGCGTGACCTCCCTGGTTTTGTTCTGCCTTTCCTGGTGTTAATCAGTGGGTGACAGCACTGAAGGAATCATCTCCACCCCACATCTGAGCATGAATCCCTCTACAATATCTAGAACTGGCACCTGCACCCAGAGTTGGGCTTTGGCACTTGAGATACCCCTCAGGACACAGCACCTTCTGCCACCAGTGCCATGAGGACCCAGCACCCTCCTTCATAAACACAACCTACTCTTGTATAGCTGGAGTCAGACTTCACATTAGGGATGGCCCGAGCTGCAAGGGCCAAGGATCCATGTCAGCACATTGTGAATATCACTGGTGGATCCTGTGCACCCCAACATGCACGGGCTGAGTGGTGAGTCCACACACAAAATAGTCTGAAGCAGGCTCCTCTGGGATGTGCCACACCAGGGTCACCCAGGCAAGCACACAGACCAGCCACTTGCTTAAAGATAACCAGTTGCTTTTGCTTTTCTTCTCTCCATTCCTCCATGCATGCTTTGCGTCTGTGCTCCCTGATCCTTCTCTTTTCTTTGCCCCATCTCCTTCCAATTAAGTGGTATTTTTCTTTCTCTCTGTTCCATCTGGATTTGCTGCATACCAGCCCCAGATGTGGCAACAAGTTCCCTCTTTTTCGTTTTCTAAAAGCTTTCATTAGTGGAAATATTTGTGGTTGTAGAACAGACGGATATTAAGATTAGATCATGTCCACCCTGCCCATGTCCCAGCTCCCCTGGGCAGGACTGGATCTGCTTGGTCTCTGCACTGAGAGGCTCTCAGGGCTGAGCCCCTGCTGTAGAAATCTGCATTTTTTTCCAGGAAATCTGAATAAGCCACATGCTACTTGGATGGTGCAGAGTCCTCATCCCCTGCAGAGCAGAAATGGTTACCAGTGGGGCCGTCGGGCCCTGGCAGCTCTGTGGGGACAATCACATGTCTTTTCAGGCACTAACAAAGCCTTGCAAGTGGTACCAGAATAATGAGCTTATTGCCATGGTTGAAGATACAAAGATTGACAACAGCAGAGATGTGCCAGCCTCCTGGCACTGCCACAGGGACGCTGGGGGAAGCTCCATGGCACAACCCTTTGCTTGTTTGTCAAAGGTGTCTCTGATGAAATGGATTATTGGAGAGGTTTTAGAACATCACTGTTGTTGAGTGGTCACCTAGCAGCTCATTTCCTTCAGCCCACCAACAAACAGGGCCACAGGGAACACTCTGACTGTGTCAAGGCCATCCTCCATGCCAGCTCTGGTGTGCTTTATAAATCCCAAGCCACCTTGGTAAAAACAGGAGAAAAGAGCAGCAGCGATGGCCACAGCTCCAAATCCAACCTGCCCCATGGTAGGTGGATTTGCAGAGAGAAATATATTATTTTTACCCATCTTCGTGTTTGCTGCCATCAGCTGGTGTACATGTGTGCCTGCATTTAAAACATAGCCTATAATATATATAGGCAATGTACAGATTATTAAGAGAGCAAGAAGCTGATTGCAAAGCTGAGGCACCAGACATGCACACAAGGATGCTACAGCTGACAACAGTTTCATTAGCCCAGCAATTACAATGAAATAAGTTTTTTGTTTTAATTGAGTTTCTCCCCTAAAGCACATATTGCGCAGATCTGCAGGGATTTAAATATGCCTCTAAGAGTCACCAGAGAAAGTAGCCTTCACAGTAATCTATTACAAGATTTTAACTCAATTCGGGAGCTGGTAATTGCATAGATCTTTTAAATTTATTTTATTTTTTAGACTCTGCAGAGCCCTAATGGCTTTGGCAATTAAGGTAACCAGATTACTGGTAATAGGGAGCACATTTAGAGAGATACAGCAGCTATCTGAGCTGCTTTCTTTTATGCTTCTGAAAATGCTGTGTCAGTGGTAGGGTGGCCCTGCAGGAGCAGCAGCTCTACGTCCCCCGTTGCTCAGAGCTGGGGAGACACAAACACTGCACCAGAGCACTGCAAAGCCAGTCAGGGTTTTTGGAGAAAAGGACTCTGCTATTTTGCTCTGACAAGTGTCCCCTGGTTTATGGGAGGGGGTTAGGCATCTTCAGGATCCTAGAAGATTTTTCCAGCTGCCCCAGAGTCTGGTTTGCTTAAAGTGAGAAGCAATTTGTGGGTTGTCTTTGGGCTTCAGAATCCACTGCCTGGCATACAGCAGGTGCAAAGCGAGCTCTGTTTAATAGCTGGAATTCAGGAAAAAATAGTCAACGAGACAGCTGAGTATCAAGATAACCAGACCGATGGAAATCTGGCCTCTGACTTTTGAGCTCTGCTACAGAGCTTCCACCTGATGTCACAGTGTGAGTTTATATTGACATGAGAAGTTCTGAACTGGGGTTGTTTAGTCTGGAGAAGAGAAGGCTCAGGGGGGCCCTTATCACTCTTTACAAGTACCTGGAAGGAGGTTGTAGTGAGTTGGTGTCAGTCTCTTCTCCCAGGTAACAAGCGATAGATCAAGAGGTAACCTCCTCAAGGGGAAGTTTAAACTGCATATTACGAAAAATTTCTTCACTGAAATGGTAGCCAAGCATTGGAACAGGCTGCCCAGGGAAGTGGTGGAATCACCATCCCTGGGACTGTTCAGTGATATACCTGGCCCTCGGTGATATAGTTTAGTGGTGGACTTGGCAGTCTGCGTGTTAATGGTTGGACTTAAGATTAACTTGAAGGTCTTTTCCAACCTAAATGATTCTACGATTCCAAGTTACAGGAAAACTGCAAAGCTGTTTTCCCATCCTGCAAATGACAGCCTAAACCCCTACGTTCGGGGGTTCAACCCGGAGCCCCTGCGTTTTGCAAACCCTAGATACTCGTGCCCGGCCGCCATGGGGAAAGGGTCCAGCTCCGCGCAGGGCCGCGTCCCGCTGTCCGTTTAGCAGGTCTGAGGGGCGGGCAGCGGCTGGGACGGGCCGGGCTGCTCCAGGTGACAGGGCCGGATCCCCAGCACGCCTCCACGCCAGCCCCAGTTCGAAGAGCCCCGTGATCACATCCCGCCCCGGCCTGCGGTGACAGCGGCCGCGCTCTGGATTGGCTGTCGGCGGGTGGGTTGCCGCGCGGCATGCTGGGAGTCGTAGTTCTCCGGCCCCACCCGCGGGAGCCTACGGCCGGGGAGGCGGGGCGCACCGGGCCAATAAGAGGTGGGGGGCGGGGCCAGGCGCGCAAACGCCGGCCGGTTTCAGGATTCAGGAGGGCAACGCAGCGGCGGCGGTAGCAGCGTGGTGAGGAGGACCTGTCCTTGGAGCGTAACTGGGGAGGGGACCCGGGGTGGCGACCCTAAAGCTGCGGGAGGGTATCGGGGGCAGATAGAAGGGCAGAGGCCCGGGGTGGAGTGGAGGTGCATGGGGCTGGAGTGGGGCAGAGGCCTTGTGTGGAGTACGAGGGCCTAGTGCTGGAGTAGAGGGAGGGCCCCGGGCGGGTCTGGGCGGGGGAAGGCAGCCCGGTGGTTCTGTGGGGTGCTAGGTCCTGTCACATGCCCACCCGTGGCAGAGCCACCCCTTGTGGGTGCGGCACGGGCGTCCCGCGCCTCCCTGCTGCGGTATGGGGCAAGTCAGGGCAGTGATGTGTCCCACGGCCACACGAGGTGAAGGTCACGGAAACGTCTCGCGGTGGACAAATTGCTTCACTTCGCGGTATCCTTCCCTTGTGTGAATCTCACCTGCGGCTGTTCCCGCCTCTCCAGCGTGACGGAAGGGTGCGGGGGGGGGTTGTGTGTGTGCCCTCTCAAGTTTCCTTCTCCGAATGAGTCAGGCTAAAATATAACTTCCATTTAGCAAATAAGGGTAGCGGTAGGAGGCACAGAAAGGCCAAATCCTTTGGCCTGCAGAGGCTTGCGTGTTTAGTTTAAAACCCAGGCAGTCTGAAATGGCTGCTAACCGGGGAATACAGCCACATTTGAAGTGCATCTTTCGCATGTTAATTTAAGCCCGTGCTTAAGTTAAATTCCTGATGGCTTATTTCAAGAGCTTGGAGTACATTCATGTGCCCCCAAGGTGTACGTGGCTGCTGAGCCTCTTTATGGCCAAACAGGAACAATACAGGTAGAGGTTTTTCTAGTAGAGAGCTTTGTGATGTTGTTGAACTAATTGTGCTGGCATAAACAGTCACCAATTGAAGAATTATGCTTGTGCCAAGCACTGAAGAAAGAACAGGTTCTCAGTGCAGCTGCAATGGGGACAGGACAAGAAGCTGGCAGGTTTTGGTGGATGGTCTCTCTGGTTTGGTGATGATGGCTCTGTGAGTACAGCCCTCCTCATGGCCATTGCTGCTTTTTCTTTAACTAGGGGGCATGTGAGAAATCACCTGTGCTGCAGCAGAAACTCTGATCATCCTCCTGATGTGCCCCCACATGAGTCTGTGCCAATCAAGGGCTTCACAACTTGCTTTGGCTCCTCCACAGCTGCCATTTTACATTCTTGCATTTTCCAGTAGGCGTTTGAAACCTTACTGAAGTGTCAGATGAGGTGGGAAGAGGTGTAGTGACCAAAAAGCTGCCAGGTAGGGCTGACCTTCTGCAGCAGCTTGCGCTTTCCCCAAGCGCTTCAAGTGCCGCTCTTGGCAGGGAGCGAAAGAGAAGAAATGATCTTTCCTGAGGTCAGAGCTGCTGTTAGGGAATTGTCTGTGGAAATAAAGCAGTGTGGTGGAGGACAGATGTCCTGAAAGGAAATGCAGGCAGTGACCAGAGCTTTCAGTGGCTTCTTGCTGCCCATGAGGGGCAGCTGGGGTCTGTAATTGTGTGAAAGCCATGGCAGAAATTTGTTGCTTCAACGCTGTTTCTTTTGTCCTGTCCTTCCCTTTCCTAGTATGCAATGATCTTGTTTTCCAGGACTTCACTTGAATTAATTCATCTGTATATAGCTCATCAGCTCGAGTCTAGCTGTTGTGCTTTTATCTTGCTACTCAGTTCACTCATGGACTATGTAAGGGAATTTATTTTTCTAAAAGTTCTCTTAACTTGGTGTTTCTAAATCCTGAAGAGAGACTCCTTGTCTTCACAGCCACTATGTCATCTGGCCAGGAATCCGTTTTCCCTGAATATGAGACTGAAACCAGTCAGACATCAAAGCTGTTAAGAAAATTTAAAGAGACGCCATTTGTACCAATTGGTAAGTATAAAGATGAATAAATATGTTTACACATAGATCTTTCTTTTCACGGGCGATCAGTAGGGTTAATGCTCTTTACCTTTTTCCCCATTAATGGGAAATTACTTTGAAATTACTTCGTTGTGTAGGCTTTTTGTATGCTGACAGTGGTATTCCTTCTGCCCAGAATGGTGTTTGTTCTGCAAGATACAGGGAAATTAATGATTCTTGTTAGCTTAAATAGAAACCTCAGAACCTACAATTGCAAGTGGGAAAAAAAAACAGCCAATCAGCACACCCTGAAAGATTGATTAGGTGAGCTTAAAAAAGGATGTTTAGGTGATCCTGTTAAGTGTTAGAGACTGTGTTTTCTAGCCATTCTGGAGTGTACGGTTGATGGGAAATACGTGATCTTTACAAAGTGACTTTAAAGCCAACAAAATACAACTTAGAAGTGTCTAAAATACAACCTGCCAGCTAAATGTGGCACCCTCCTCTGCTGCTATCCTTAGTTTAAAATGCATTTTCTTAGTAGGTTTTGCAGTGCCCCAGCTTGAGGAGGCTGTTGAAGTTTTCAGCCTCTCTGCTGAAACCCTGAGAAAGCCTCAGAGGAGGGAGAGGGTCAGTTGTATTCATCCCAAGAGCTTTCCTCTGACTGGGAACTGCCTCTGATGTGAGACACGTTTTGATTTCCAGCCGCCTAAAATGGAGAGCAGTCAGGTCACTTGGGGTGAACTGTTTCAGGCGTTTGCCAGGAGATATCTGTCACCAGTCCGTGTGGTCACAGGACTTTGCTTTCCAGCTTCCTAGGGCATACTGTGAACTCTGTGAGTTCAGGTTTTCCTGAGCAGATTGGCACAATTTAACCTTCAGCCTATGCTGGAGCTAGCTTGAGTGCCCTAAAACTCTTAATTGGTATTTAATGAAGCTGCCACATGGGTCGTGCACCAGTGAAAGGTTTACGGCTTCACAAGTGGAACTGGTGATACTCCTGTTCAGGGAGACAAGCTGTCCAAGCTCTCATTGGTAAAATATACACTACACTTAAAACTTGGCAGCCTCTTTTGTGCTATGTAAATAATCATCCTAAATAGGAAATGAAGTAGATGGAATTGGGAAATCTTATGCATTGGTGCTCTGTATTCCATGAGACCATCAGTATACACAGGTTGGAGCTGGCATATCCGGGGCTGTGGTTGATCTGTTGAAGAACAAAAAGTTCATTCTTTCCCTGTGAAAGAGACCTGGCTGAATCTCTCCCCCCACATCACAGGACCAGTAACACGACTTGTCCTATCCCAGTGAAAGTTGTCTATGTGTGACAACACCTAAAATAACAACCTCAAGTAGGATAGTGGGTATGTCAGGCTGCACCCACATGCTGGGGGTCAGATCTGCAGGTGAGTAGGGTTCTTGGATGTGAGCTTCTGTCCTGGAAAGAGGATGTAAGCAGCACTTACTCCTCCTGAAAATTAGCCAGGAAACTCTGAGCTACTGCTTTGGCATTTTAATGCTAGTGGAAATCCTAGAATGGTTTGGGTTGAAAGGCACCTTAAGGATAGGAAGAAGTTGTTCCCTGTGAGGGTGATGAGGCCCTGGTACAGGTTGCCCGGAGAAGCTGTTGCTGCCCCATCTCTGGCAGTGTTCAAGGCCAGGTTGGACGGGGCTTTGAGCAACCTGGGCTTGTGGAAGGCGCCCCTGTCCATGGCAGGGGGGTTGGAGCTAGGGTTAGGGAAGGGACCTTAAAGACCATCCAGTTCCAAATCCCTGCCACAGGCAGGGACACCTTCCACTTGACTAGGTGTCAAAGCCCTGGCCAAGTAACAGCTGGAGTTTATAGACAGCAGACGATCAAGAGATCTGAAGATCTCTAAAGATCTGTATTCTTGCCATTGTTACCAAAACAGTGAGGCAAATAGCTGCAAAAAACCAGCAGCAGCAACTAGCTCATTAGCTCACATTTGGGAAGGATTTACTTGATCATGTAAAGGAAACCACAAAAGCCTTTAAATAACAAAAAAAGAATTTTTCAGTGTCTAAGGTTGCCTCATAAGAGTACCCCTATTCTGCCCTAGCCGTTTTTATGTAAGATTTTGTGTGAATGGCAGAAGGTGCCTCTGAAACTGCTCTGCTCTTGTAGGAAGCAGGAAATCTATGGAAAGTATATGAAGACCTAAAATGGTATTTACCGCTACAGTCTTACTTAGTTTTGGATCCTTTTCTATTATATGGGTTTCAGTTGAACCGTTGTACCATCACATGGTTGACTGGTTTTGGCCCCATGAAATCCTGTTTCTGCTTGATGTCATTTAATTTAAAAGCTATTTTTATATTTCATAATGTAACATAATCTAGGAATTATATGATGTTCTCTGTAGCTTGTCTCTTTGTGTATGAAAATGACAATCTCTTGCTCTTCTTTGCACTGACTTGTGCATAGAATGAGGGGACACATGAGTGGATTCAGTAGACAGGGCAAGACTTGTCATCCACATAGAAACAGTAATTTGACCAAAGCATGGTTATTTTAGAACAGGGGGAAACGCCTCAAGTCATGCCAGGGGATGTTTAGCTTGGATATTAGGAGAAATTTCTTCACCAAAAGTGTTATCAAGTGTTGGAACAGGCTGCCCAGGGAAGTGGCTAAATGGCCATCCCTAGAGGGATTCAAAAGACTTGCACATGTGGCACTTAAGGACATGCTTCAGTGGTGGCCTTGGCAGTGCTTGGTTGACAGTTGGACTTGATCTTCAGGGTCTTTTCCAACATAAATCACTCCATGATTCCCAGGGTATTTTGTTTAGATGGGTCACTTCACACATCCCTGATGTTGATCTCGACTCAGAAGGATGCTTGCCTCTTTCTTGCAGGAATGGCTGGCTTTGCCATGTTGGTTGGGTATGGGCTGTACAAATTGAAGCACAGAGGTGACATGAAAATATCGCTTCACCTGATTCACATGCGGGTGGCAGCCCAGGGCTTCGTCGTGGGAGCGCTCACGTGTGGTGCGTACTGAACAGGAGGACCTCTCACATCATCTCTTCTCTTAGTGGTTTACACAGCCTGCATGAAATGTTGGGGTGAAAGTGTGCCATCTGTTACATTTTAGGATGTTTATGCTCATGACTGGTGTTTGCTCAGACTTCCTAGAGTAGTGTGAATTTTAACTACACATTTAATATTAAGCTGTGCTAACTCTGAGAGTAGAAGTTTTGACTGCTTTTAGATGTGGAAAGTTATGTGAGGTTCTGCAGATGTTGAAATTAAGAGGTAATAAAAGAATGGTCTGCCATTAATATTTCCCCTTGTAGGTATGTTGCTGTTCCTGAATATAGCACATTGGAAGACCAGTTTATGTAGAGTGTAGTATTATATATTTTTGTATATATATTTTCAGGACTGAACGTACCAGTGTGTACATCCCAGGTCTTATCTGAGTGTTTCAGCTATGTATGTGTGTCAGTGCCTATCCCGTGAAACACTGTTGATACTGTATTCCCAGAAGTTACAACAGAGAAGCCTGACTGCAAAGTAAACTAGAATTAGCTTGGGATCAGGATTTTCATATACAGTATAATTCCATATCAGATTTCTCTGTATATGAAGAAGTCAGTGTTCATCACTGCTATAAAAAAAAAAAAAGAGGAAGGGAAACATTATTTCATGACTGAGACTCTCTCTTACTCTTCAAATTGAAACTTGTTACTTCTTGTTTAACAAAGCTTTCCGATTGTGTTTGTATTTCTGTCTTGTAGGTGTGCTGTATTCGATGTTTCAGGAGCATGTGCTGAAGCCCAAAGAGTAGCAGAAAGCTCATTGAAATCTCTGTCCTGGTGGTTGCCTGTGTACTGCAGCTACAAACCTCCTATCAAGGGGTTCTTGAGGAAGAACAAAAAACACGATATTAGAGAATTGCCCTGTATATATTTGGTGTACAGAACACTGTCTTGGAGCTGGCAGCCTAAATGATTGTGCACTGGGGTAGTGGGTGTCAGGGTCTGCTTTGATTGACATTAGCATATCCCAGTTTTTAGGGGATATAGTAGAGTACAATGCCTTTATCTTCTCCTCAACTATCAATACTTTCCTAAAATTGGTGGCTTCTTTTCCTGCCGTTGCCCAAAACCACAGTCTGAACTAGCTTCTATGAGGCATTGGGCAGCATGTGGAGGCCAGGCCTGTAAGTATCGTGAATGCTTTGCTGTCATTTTCTATCTTGTGTATTTGTCAGCCTCCATCTTTGTAATTTAGAAGCTTCTAGTAGCACTAAATGGTTTCTAAAATATTGAGAGAGATATGAACATCTATTTTATTTTTTTTATTTAAGGCATAAGTACTTGGTATGTTGCAGCTATTTAAATGTTATATTTATTCATTTTAATGAGGACACAGGCTCCCTATTTTTACTATAGATTTTCAGACTCTTGAATTGCTATATTTTGTAACTTTATTTACAGTGTTCTTCTGAATAACATTTAACTGTAACGTTTAAAATAGATATTGTGGAAATTAACCTTTATTTGGTGTTCTAATGCTTTCAGCTGAAGTATATGATATAGCTCTGATTTCTGTGGTATCATTAAATTTTTAACCATTTAAATCTGAAAAGGCCCCATAATCTTTGAGGTGTTAAAACCCTTCTCTGTCAGTTGCTACTGTTATTTTACACTTGGACCCCTTGTATCTGCAACAGCAGTCACAAAAATAAATATGTTGAGAAATCCAATTTGTAAAAACCTCATTTTCTCCTCTTAGCTTACATTCCATGGTGACAGTATGATGTCTGTGTAGCAAATACCACAAGGTCTATTCTGCACCTCTGTCTGTGACATATTGTACAGCCCAGTGGGAGATAAAACGTGAATAAATATATGAGCGCTAGAGGTAACAAGTGTTTGGCTATGGATTTGTTGGGGGGTGCGCCCCCTGTGCGTGCCTGTTGCAGAGGAGGGATGAGGTGAGCGTGAGCTCCTGTACCCGGATAAAAATCGCCTAGGAGGGTGCGATGTTCCTGGAGAGGGCATTCCCAGCCGGCACAACTCTGCCGTCCTTGGCTGCTCCCACAGTTCTCCCTCACCGGGGACGAGCGGCGAAGGCGAAAGGAAATGCTCCTCCACCGCGCAGAGACCTTTTCCCGTCACCGCCTTCCTCCTCCCCCTCCAGGGGGTGGGATAAGGAGCAACCCATTCCCTCCACTGCCGCACCCCGAGGGGCCGGGCTTCTACCGGGAAGGGGCGGTGCTGTGCGCGGCCGATCGGACCTATCATGGCGGCTGGCCTGAGGGGTGGGGCGCATGCGTGGCCTTGCCCTTTCCCTTCCCTGGTGGCCTGGGTGCCGTTGCTATGGAAACCGCGTGGGGCTGCGGCTGGGCCGGGAGCCGGAGCGGCCGGGCCCGTCGGGCAGCCAACAGGAAGGGGCGGCTGGCGGGTCCCTGCCGCTGCCCTCGGGGCCGGGGAAGGCGGTTTCGGTAGGCAGATGGGCAGGGAGGTGCGGGGGAGGCAGCGCGGCGCCGTCAGGCCGCAGGACAAGGCGGGCGTTGCGCGGGGAAGAGAGGGACTCCCATCTCCCCACACATCAGATCGGCAGCAGAACCCCTGTGCCAGGTTTGGACTCGGTGCCCAGGCAGGTTGTCGTGCTTAAGATTGTCCTCTGGCCATCGTTCATACCCACGGGGCTTGTGGCTATGCAGAGGCGCCGGACTCCGCTCTTTGCTCTTGTCAGTTCATAGTGCACCCTGTCGTGGTGCAGGCTGCAGTGCGTCCCTGCCCACACAGTACAGACAGGCACAGAAGGACGTGGCCCGCGTTTCTGCACTTCATCAGGATGGTTGCTGCCCTAGTGTCAGAAAGGGCGTGTGTTAATTACTCAGCAAAAAGCCTTTGATAGTTTTTACTGATTGTTCTTCCGAGACCAAAGGTGCACTTGGGTTTTTTGCTGACGCTAAATGTCAAACAGAAGGAGAAGCGGCTGGAATACATCAGAAAACTGCTCATCTTTAGTCATACTTAGTAAAGCTCTAGACATTTAAGTGGGTAGCAGTACTATCGCTTATAATGTTATCACTTAATGCTCAGAAATCTGGGGAGAAATATAAGTCACGCCCTTGGTGTCTTGTGCCCAAAAGGGAGCATTAGGATAAACAGAGATCTTCTATCCTTTGTCAGTCCCACATTAACCCCAAAATGGAGGGATCTGCACCTTTCTTTGGAACATGGGAAGGAAGGCTGGATGGTTGCCAACAGTTTGTGTTCCGTTTAGTGAGTGTACCATGGTGGCCTGCTGCACTCTTGGATTTGACCGCAGCTTGCTCTTCATTAAAAATGTTTATTTAAATGATGCGTTTAAAAACATTTGAGAACATTTATTTTTGGATGCTAAAGTGGAAAAGGCCCCAAAACGTTTTTGAAGGGTGCTTGAAAACTGTTTATAGGAAAAGGCACTTGAAGCAAGGCAGTGGGGTTGAGGATCCCGGTGGCTGAGAGGAGGAGGTGACAGGGAGGCTGTGCAGAGGTCAGTGAGGGAAAATTGTAAAGCAGTTGTTAGAGGAAGACGTTCTTCAAAGAGATGTTGATCTCTGCTTGCTGTTGCTTTTTCTTCTTGTTAGGCTTTTAGTAAACAATGGAGTCAAACATAAAAGAGAATGAACATTTTCAAAGCCAATTTAAGGCTTATCAAGAACAACAGCAAAAGCGGCTGCGAAATCTAATGGAGAAGAAGGAAAAGCAGAATGGTCAGAAGGGTGATAATGGCAATACAAAGGAGACTTTCAGAATCCCTAATGATCTAAACCTCTTTGAAGCAGGACAACCTTTAAATGAAGATGGTGGCAAAAGGTAAAGCTGTAGCAGCACCATTTCCTCAGGAAGTCACAGAAGTGTATTTAGCATACGTTTTTATGAAACTCATATTAAGTGGACAGCAGGCTTTCTTCACATATCAGGCTTTCAGTATACTGATGTCATGGTTCCCAGGCTGAAAGTCAAAAACACAGCAGTGCGCCAGCTACTAAGAAGGAGAAAAATGACTGCTACTGCTGAACCCAGGACAGCTGAGAAGACTTCCTCTGTCTCTATAGTATCTATTCTTAGGGCACTATGATGTGCGCTTTATTTTCAGTGTCTCACAAATGAAGAGTGGAAGGACAGAGGGGTTAAGGGTGACATGCTAGGGGCAGCTAGGTACTATCTGTCAAAATCCAGTCATTCAGGATCACTAACACTGTTGGTTAGTTCCTACCTAGCCTTGTAAACAAACAAGTTCCCTATTTGAATAATTTCCAGAGACAGATAAGGACAAAAATGCTAATAGATGCACCCCGGGGCCTACAGAAAAGTATTTCCCTGGCTATCTTTGCACTACAACCTGACTTAGTAGATGAAAAGACAGCCAGCTATGTAGGAGGGTCTCATAGGCAGAGTTGCCTCCTGGTTAAGATACTTGACAGGGTTGTACAAGGTAAGGTTTTAAATCTTACTGGGGACAGGGGGTTGGGTCTTCGTCACCCACTGGGGCAGTATCTGGATTACCAGGACACCGGACATTATGGTATGGATCTCCCTTGGTCTTGTTTTTAGAGCTGAGTTACTGGAGCAGAGAATTGAAACTTCAGCTGACATAACTTATCTTCCTCCTAGGATATAGTTGGTTGGTCTTCCCTTCTGACCCAACTGATTTTTTTTTTACAAACTAGAACAGGTCCGAAGTTGGACACATCCCAAAGATGTCTGTAGTGTTGGCTGTTCAGGTATATGCTCTGTGTTAGTGGTGAAGCCAGCTGAAGAAATTTCTGCTTCTACTTCCCCCTTGCAGCTGTGCTGATACAGCTGTTTGCTGGAAACTGGATTCACTTTCTGGAGCAATAGTACTTTTATCTCAGATCATTTCAAGGAGGAGGAGCTGGCAGCTTTGCCAAAACCAGCAAATCACAGGTGGAAAACCACAATTAGGCATATACCTTTGAGATAGTTTTCTCTCCCAGCATCTGGAGTCGGGAAGGGCACTTCTACCAAAGTTTATCAAGCCACTCACCAAGGTTTATTCATTCCCAAATGCAGATCTTCCCTCTGTGTTACTCTAGGCAACTCCCTGCTCAGCTTGTTTCTGGGAATTGCTTCCTGAAATGCCCAAGTGCATTAGCTGCAGCAGACCTTCTGTGCAGATGCAGGGAGTCGAGGAGCGAACCACTGAAACTTGCAGGTGCTTCTGGAAATGTAGTGTTCATGCTGCTCAGGAAGTCTGTGTAGAAACAGGGAGCTGCTCTCTCCATTGCATCATACATTGCATACTTTACACATGGGTGCCTCACTATGGCTGTTGGATTTGCCAAGTTATGCTTCTGATGTGACCTCTACCAGCTGTCCTCTTCCTTCAACATTTTGTTCTGATAGTATATGGAAGATTACTATGGAGATCTGGGGTTTTTAATATATATATATAATTTTTTTTTTTTTAAATGGAGAGAGAGACTGATGTGGATTTGCCTAGTGGAGGAGAAGGAATAGGTGCTCTCATAGCACATCCTGGTGCAGTGTGCATTCCCTGACATGCAGAGTGTAAGAGAGTCCCAGCAGTTTTCTGTTATTTACGGTCCAGTAGTTTAGGTCTGAGTAATTCAAGAGCTATTATGTACCTCTGTTTTCAGTGATGCTGACTGTTGAAAGTCCCCATTTGACATTGCAGGTGTAGCAGATTTATCTGGATTGTCCTTTGCTTATGTACTTCTGTGTTCAGCAAAAGAGGGGTTACGAGTGTATCAAATCCAGGCAGAATTTGCTTCTGGAATGGATTCACCAGGATGTACTTTGCAGTATTCCCATGACAACACATAAGAAACTTGTTCCAGAATAACAGGACTCCATATGGTCCGCAGTGGCAGTGATTTCAGCACGTCAGTGTTGTTTATAGCAGCAATGGAAAACATCCTCCCCTCAGAAGTTTTGCTTCCTCTGAGCCTTGGGAGTTTGTTTTTCCTTCCTCTGTCCCACTCCCAAATTTTGTTGGAGTGGTTAGCTGAGGCTTCTGTCTTTCTGGTTTGTTCTTTCTGTCATTTTATCCTTCCTAGTGGAGGAATGGTTGGACTTGATCTTAAAGGCCTTTTCCAACCTGCTTGATTCTACAATTCTACTCTGTTTGGTATATTTAAGATTAAGTGATTCTCTCCATCACATGGAGAATTTGTAACAGAGTTGGGAAAGACACCAGAATTTCAGTTACAGACCCTGTTCATAAGCTTCACCTGTCTCTATTTCCTTGAACTAGAGTGAAAAGGGTTACCTTTTGGTGGCCTGTTTCTTTTGGCTGACTTTCTGTAGCTGAGCCACTGGGGTGGAAACTGATACCTCCTTTGCATATGTAGAGTCAGTCTGGGGTGGGTGGGATGGAGACGTTTCTCAGAGCAGACTCCAGCTCTGTGCAGCTAGTATTTGTGTCCATCCTACTATAAGTGCTTTTTGGTAAGACTTGGAAGCCAGCTCTGAAGAAGACATCGCTGCTTCAGGTGTGATAAGAGCTGAGAGCCTTTTTTCATGTTAATTCGCTAACTTAAAAATCCTTTTGTCCACATATCTCTAATTAGAGCTGCACACTTCTATGAGGGGTTGCATGTAGGAATAACTTAGTTTTGCCTCTTTTCTGCTCAGAGTGCTGCTTGCTTTCTTCTTTTATGTAAACAACTGCCTTTGATCTTCCTTTGATATGCAGCTTTGAAACACAAGTGCATTTCTTATC